ACAATATAAACAACATTACTAGGAGCTATGGGTTAATTGCGGGAAACTTAAAACTAATCGCGACCAGGTCTTAAACTTTATTTTTCACTGACCTAAAACCGCCAATAACCCAAGAATACACAAATTCATTAATTATTCCTCAAAGAATAGTTCTTGACAAAAATAAATTAATAATTGTTTTTTTTTTATTTTTGTCAAAAACTTATTGTCAACATGACAATTTAATTTCTATAACAACAATGTGGTTTTTGTAAAATATTTGTTGTTGTATCTGATGCATACACCTTATTAAAAACACCTTGGGAAAAACTTTTTATCAGGCTTCGTCGAAACAGGTTTCTATTTAAAACCTGTTCTGCAAATATGTTTCTCACCATCAAATTGTATCCAAGTACTTTAAAATACCGAAAATTGGGCGGGATATTTATGTGAAGGCTATACCTAAACGTATACACATTTAAGCTGTGATATTTTTCAACATCCAATGACAGTCACTTCGATAATAATATTCGAATAAAACCTTTAAAATACCAATACCGAGGCTGAACATTTAATTCGAAATATACCAAAACATGGACATATATTGAAAATTTACTACAGAGATTTTTTTAAACAACCAAGAACCCAAAATTAAAAATTACAGTCAATGCGTTGGAAAATTGTGACTACAATTTTCAATATATGCAACAAATTCTACAACCTTCAAAACAAAGACCTACAAGGAACACTTTTGTGCGGAGCCTTTTTGTGGAGGCTATATCGATTTTTTTACAGAGATGTCAACAACTTCTATGTGAAAATTCGGTTAAAACCTTTAAAATACCGAAAATGACATGAGACGAGGGGTCAAAACATCGAACTATATATGCAAAGATAGGGTCATAAAGTTCGGCCGATCTGGACATAAAATTGATAGAGGCTTTTATATGAAATGGTAATTAGAGGCCAAGAGCAAACGAAATATCAATCTACAGTCAATTAGGTTGGAAAATAGGTCTGAGATATTAAATATATACAAAATAGCGCGTGACCTTTATATGAGGGCTGTTTGGAAACACTCACTTGTATTAAACAAATTCTATGAAGAAGATTTTTCCCACCAAGTTCTAGGAATTCCCACAGAGAAACCAAAATATCAATTTAGACCAATTCGATTGAAAACCGATTAAAAATACAAAATAATGGCGGTTACATAATATGGGGGCACCTAGAAATATTAGGCAAATATTGAAAAATTTTAGTAGAGAGATTTACTACCCAAAATATAAATGTGCTGTCAACTAGATTGAAAAACGTGACCCAACTGCCAAAAATATGTTATAAGGGGCTTACCCTAAAAAGATGACCCATATATGGGCAATATTGCCAATTTTTTAACATAGCTGAAGCGGAGGTTCACCCCTTTATAACTCGGGAACTACTTAAGTATATGAAAAAAAGCGAATAGTTTTGGGTTAATTGATCTGTCGTTGCAAACTGTTCATGATATTGACCTCCAAACTTTATTTTGGTGGAAGCTGTGTCTACTTTAATGTAAAAAAATGTGTAAAAACAGGTTGAGGCGAACCAGTTTTTTCATATTCTCTATCGTTTTGTGACTAAGCCACTCATTGCACGGTCTTCGTGTCAAAAGAAAACTAGAAGCCAACAAAATGGGGACTACGCCCCTTATGTATCATTTTTCAAAATTTTAACTGCATCTACTTTTAAATGATGCTGACATTTTGAAGCTCGATTTTGAGTGTTTTTTTAATTTTACATCTAGCTTTAATACGCAAACAGGAATTTATAAAAATCGATTATAAGATTATTGTAGTCGCCAATCTGCGTAATTTGATATGTATTTTGTGTATGTAGTATGCACAGCTTCAGAGTAATACTCATCCGAAGGTGCGAATTTTGTGCGATCAAATTTCTAAAAAACCTATTTTTCGGGCCAAATTTTTAGATCTGTCAACTGAATGATATGGGTACCCGCGATCAATAAGGTTTTTTACGTTTCGGATGATATAACATCTTCTTTGTGAAAATCCATCTACTAGAACGGCGGGAACTGGCCTTCCAAAAACACGAAATTTGGCAAAAAATGTTTTTGAAAATATGCCGGATTTATTTGCGTTTTCTGTGTATCATTTCCGCTTCAATAAATGACCTCATACGGATTTTGATCTTTTTCGAAAAGAGAACTTTAAAAACTTCAGCCGAAAGAGAGATGTACGTAATTTATCTCAAAAATAGATTGTGCTGGCCCATCCATGGTTCTTAATGGACCACATTGAAATGGCATAGATCGATGTATTTTTTAGGGTGCACACCGAAATCGGATGCGCGTTAATGGCATATGGAGTTTTCGGAAATTATTCGCGTTTTACGATTTTTTGGGTACTTCAATGTAACGTGCGGCACATCTTAGCCGTCAAATGAAATTTCGCAAAATATATATGGATTGGAAGATAAACTTCAGTAATTCCTGGAATCCGCATGCGCATCAAATGATTTTGAGAATTACGCGATTTACACGCAATTTAAAATGTATATTTCATAATATTATTTTATTTTAAGTTTTATTCCTATTTATAGAATTCTAAGATTTATCGGAAGGGTCTTGATATAATCCGCAAGACGTATACTTATACACAAAAAGTGATTATTATTATATATGTCAATTTTTTTGGCGAAATTCAGGTAAAATAGCAGAATAACCCCAACATTTTTTTCTGAAATTTCTTGTATACAATTAAAAAAAATAAATATGATGACATTATTTTTTCGAACCAAAAACAAATATTTTTCCTCAATATCTTGTTTTGTTGTCGCTTTGATTTAGAAACCGCTACACGGACTTGTGTGATTTTGATATAATTTGATTCACCATCGTGTTTAGATTATGTAGATATTTTTAAATTAATTTTTAGGTGTGTGTATGTTATTAATATAATGAAAATATTGATGTAATCTGCTATATTTTTTTATTTTTCTTATATTTCGCAAATAAGTGCAACTTTATTGTGATTATTATAATATATTCATATTCTTATTTTACGGAGGAAGATATATATCAACGTTTTTGGTCAATATAATAAACGGCGTAATTTTAAGATTTTTTTCTTATGCCCAAAATTAAAACCTTGATAACTTTTGCGCGCATCAACCAAAAATTTGATCGCGAACGGTTTCGGAGTCAGAACATTTTTCTCTATATGTGTACCAAAAATCATAGATGTGCCACAAAAACAAAAAAAGCTGATTTTTTGAAAATGGAATATTAAAAAATTGGCAATATTGCCCATATACCATTTTCAATACCCAATATCCTGGGAATAGTAGCAATGTGCGTACAAATTTCTAAACTCTAACTTAAATATTAGAGCTCTATCGTAAATTCAACAGACAAGCCGGCATGATTTAGTTTTATTCTGACCAAGAATTCTTTATGGGATCTCTGGTAAATATTTCGAAGTGTTGCAAATGGAATGAAGAATTTAAAATATGGATGGTATAAAAACAAGTTAAAACGATGTTATGTTCGGACAGGCAGAACTTTTTATACCCTCCACCATGATGATGACATTTAAAATATGTAAAATTGATGGGGCCCCCAAAATACCGAATATTGGGGGAACCGTGAAACCTGGGACTACCCTGAAACTTGGGTCAATATTATTCATTTTTGGTATGGAGATGTGCTATGCAATAATAACCCAAAATACCAGATTATAGCCAATTTGGTTGAAACAAGTGTCGAAAATCGCCTAATTACCGAACATTGGGGGTACCGTTATATGGGGGATACCATGAAACTTGGGTCAATATTAGTTTTAGTACGGAGATGTGATATACAATGAGAATCTAAATTACGGCCAATTCGGTTGAAATATGATCCCAAAATACCGTATACTGCGGGGTACCGTTTTGTGGGGCTACCCTGAAATTTGGGTCAATATTAATAATTTTTGATACGAACATGTGTTATACAATGAGAAACCAAAATACTAGTTTACAGTCAATTCGGTAGAAAAATGTGTCCAAACCGTTATATGGGGGCAACTCCAAAACGTGGACCGATATATGTATGTTCTATCGTGATATCAACAGCCGGACAGACAGACGGACATGCGTAAATCGGCATAGAATATTATTCTGATCAATAATATACTTTGTGGGGTCTGCGGTGATTATTTCAAGGTGTTGCAAATGGAATGACAAATTTAATATACACTCCACTTTGTTTTTGAGGGTAAAAAAAGTTAATAAAAAATCACAGTAATACCCACAAAAATCACCACATTAGCATTACTGCTTTTGGGGGTATGCCAGACATATGTTCGCTCATTTGTTCTCATTGGTGGGTCGTCTTCGCGAGTAGGGAAACATTCCAACATTCTCGCACAAGTGTGCACGGGTAATGGTGAAGTGTTTCCTCAGTTCAAAACAAACCAAACAAGTGAAAACACACGGCACTGTCGTAGTGAAAATATTCGTGAAATTCTACCGGAAATAAATTCGAAACGCGAATTAAATATGAAGAAAACAAAAGACCAAACATAAAGTACGCAAACAAACAACAATAACAAAACAAATAGAAGTCACCTAGATTTACGCATGACATAATTAATAAATCACTTGAATCAATGAGAAGAATAACAGCAACAACTAAAGGCATATCAAATACCGCCGTTTGTACCGCTATATCAAAATCAAGTCGTCGTCGTCGTCGTTAACTGGCTGGCCATTCTAATCATCAATGTAAACCGGAAAACTACTCAAGATCACAACAAAAACAACAACAACGACAACAGCATCTGCAGCAACAAGTAATGAAGAACTTACACACAGCGACAACATCCAGAGCAGAGATATCTAAGTTCAGTTTATTTGATTTGTTGTCGTCGTGGTCGTCTTCGACATTTATCGTCCCATCGTGACTACTGAAAAATCAAGCTTTACAAAAACACGAATATTCCCTGGAATTGACAGCGACGGAAGGGTAGCCTGACTGGGTGCCTGCCAATCAAAAATGTCTGCACCATTGGCTTATGATGGCACATATTTGAAATCTATTTCCGGTATTTTAAAAATCTGTTGCATGGTAGGTATCATCGGATAATGGAGCAGCAATAGTCAGCTGTATGTGGCTGTGTGTGTATTTTTGTTGTTATTTATTATAAAGATAAAGTCCATAAGAGTTTTTTTTTTGCTGATTATTCATACATCCATACACCAACCGCCTCATCATCGTCATCAAAAGATGATGGCTAGCTAATATGTCTGAATGTAGCCTCAGTGCGTTTTTATTTGTATCGGCTGACTCAAAGGTTTTTGCTGTGTTTCGTCTTTTTGTTTCTTCTTCCCGTCCACCCTTTTCGTTTTCTTTCACTAATTGTTCCATTAAAATGTTTAATGATTTCCATTTTACAGTGAAAGTGATTGGAAATAATTAAAAAAATAATTAAAGATAAGGCGGAACAATTCCATAAGAAGTGAAGAGAACAAAACCGCTTGGAAAATTAACGTGGTTCTATGAGGTATATGTAGGTGTAATCAAAAAAATATATATGTAAAATAGGTCCTGTTGAACTCATGTATGTGGATAATTTAAAAATTGTGAAATTATATCCTTATAGGGCCAAGTGCAGTTGTAAATTCCTTTGATATCAGTTGGTCATGATCTTACAAACTGGAAAGTGGGTCCAAATAACCACTATATGATACTCAACAACTCCTTGTGTATTTTGCAGGGAGTACAAAATATTTGGTTGATCAAGCTGACAAATAATATAGAGTACAAAATGTATGTATCCACTTTGGATACATACAAGAGATGCTAATATATACTGTAGATAGCACAGACGTATAATCTTTAGAGGACCATTGGAATGGGGCGAAACTAAATATGTGATCTTCATAAATATTTGAAACAATTAAAAATCCATACACATACCATTCTGAAACCTATGAAAAATTACATGTCAATCGGATTCTTTTGTGTACCTTTTGTATAAAATCGAGCAAAATAATGTATGTGGGAATATGTATAAATCTGGACCTAATTGAGTAACCGTGGCATATACCATTTGGTGTGCTGCAGCACAGTGCGCTGACCACAATTTCATCTCGTGTACAAACGTAGGCTGCTCGGTCGGTGCATCATTTACACAAAATCAGATGCAAATATGGGAGAAATATTTAAATCTACACCAATCTTTGCAATTTTAATACACATCACACTATTCGGTGCATCATTTACATAAAATCGAACGAAACTATAGGGGAGTTATCTAAATCTGAACCGATTTCAAAAAAACTCCACACACATTAAACTGGACTTTATTCAGTACGCTGTGCAAGATTTTGTCCCGATCGGACAATCCTTAGGAGCTATATGGGAGCTATATCTAAATATGAACCGTCATTTTTCCAATTTCAATAGGGTTTGTCCTTGAGCCAAATAAGTTGACCGCGCCAAATTTCATCAAATTTGGATTATAAATGCGACCTGCATTTTGTTGGGTACTGGAAGGATAAGTTGCGACGAAAGTTCAGACTTGAATTAACTATTCGCAATATATAATACATGAACACACTCTAGTCAACTATGTCGATCGTAAAAGCTAGTGTACGAGGGCTAAGACTAATCATAAAACATTGTGTTATTGTTTCTCAAAGTATCTTCCGTCATGATTTTAGACATATTTATGAGCTCAAACCAATTACCGGGGAAGCTATCCACACCTATTGAGACACCAAAAAGGTTTTCAACCGCGTCAACAGTATCTTCTGGTGACGAAATTCGTAGACCACTTTTTCTTCATGTGAGGGATAAAACTAAGTCATTGTGTACCAAGTCAGGACTGCAATGCGAATGATCTGTCAATTCCACGGTTTAGTCGGTCGAAAATGTCCTGGATATGTGTTTGAGAGATCGGTTTTTGTGAAAGCGTCATGCCCATAGAATCACTTTCTGAGTCGATTTATGCATGTCCGTCCGTCCGTCCGTCTGTTGGTGTTAAATTGTAAACAAAGTACAGGTCGTATTTATAATCCGAATTGGATAAAATTTGGCACAGCTAACATGTTTGGCACAGGGACGAACCCTCTTGAAATTGGAAAAAATCTGTTCAGATTTAGATATAGCTCCCATATATATTTTCGTCCGATTTAATGTAAATGCACCAAAGTCCCTATATATCATTCGATTTGCACGAAATTTGACATAGCGTACTGAATTGAGCCTGGAGTGATGTGTGCCAATTTTCGTGAAAATCGGTTCAGATTTAGATATAGCTCCCATATATTTTCGTCCGATTTAATGTAAATGCTGCATAGGGACTTATATACTTTTCGATTTTCACGAAATTATCCAATTTCATGTTAATGGTCCTTCAAAAATGCCACGTCTCTTAGGATGCATCTGTTTAATATACCCATAGTAGTGTAGGGTATCATATAGTCGCCTTGTCCGACTTTACTACTTTCCTTACTGGTATTAAGAAATAAGCAACCATTTGCTTTCTTTAAATTTTTAATTGTACGAGGTTCAACGGGACAAACCTATTTTACGACCACGGATTTACGGATGTTTATGAAATTGGTAAAATTATATTTGAAAGAATTAATCCAAACTCACCAGAGACAAATTTTGAGTCTTCAGGACAGACGTTGTAGACGATATTTGCCTTTAGACCACATCGGTTTCAAACAATTATGAATTCATTTAGAAATATCCGAGAGTCTGTCTGGCTGTTTTACATGACAATTGTTAAAGAGAGTAACCGGCTTTACCCTGTATCAAAATTTGAAAATTTGTATATCCTATAAGGACGAATTTAGCTTATCGTACTGAATTGGTTTATATTTAGATATAGCTCCCATATATATTTTCGTCCGATTTAATGTAAATAGTGCACCAAAGTCCCTATATATCCTTCGATTTGCATACAATTTGGCATAGCGTACTGAATTAAGTCTAGAATGATGTGTGCTATGTTTCAAGAAAATCGGTTCCGATTTAGATGAAAAAAAATTGCATACACCTTGAATGTACATAATTCAGACTGTTTTTTGAAACCCATTTTAATATTAGTTTTAAAACCCATTTACATTTAATATATTTGGGCCAAACTTATTTAAGGGTTAAATTTACACTTGCACTATCTTCATAGTTACTCTTCATCCGCAAAACAAGTTTGTAGGTCATTAACATAATGTCAGTGTCATTATAAATGATGTCATACACAGAAGGACAACAAAGAAACAATGCGGAATTCCAAAAAAAATGAAGACATGTTGTTTCACCGGGCAAATGTGTTCATTTAGCAACTCATTACCTGATAAGAAAGGAGCGGAACGGTGTAGAAAATAATAGCAGTAAGCGAGACAACATTTTGTTTCACAATATTTTACGAGTATCATTGTAATTTTTTACAATGAACTAAAAATTTATCATAACCTTTAGATATTTATATGTAGCTGTGATCCTCGGATGTTTAGTTTTGAAAATTAGATATATCGGTCCAGTTTTTGTATAGCCTTATTATAAAACAAGTAAAAAAGTCGTTAAGTTTTTGTCGAACTCCACAATGAGTTGGACATTTTAAATACTAGTAATCGTTTTGGATCTTCATAAATGGCGGGTCGGAAGATTTGACACTCAATGAGCAAAAAAGTAGGAAGCAATCGATTAAAATACGTCAAAAAATCACCAAAATACCGTGAATGAGGACTCTTTTAAAAAGTAGACGATATTAATTTTTAGGTTGAAAATCTTGACAAAACTCCTAAAATATATAAATGGGGGTTATCGTATATAGATGGGGATATGCTAAAAAGTTAACCGATATCGATCATTTTTGGTAGTAAGATTTATTATTCAATTACAATTCAAGAGACTAAATTGTATCCAATTTGATTCATAAACATGATCAAACTCACCAACATTTCGAATAATGAGGAGTACCTTTATATAAGGGCTATTCTAAAAAGTGGAGCGATATCGATTATTTTCGGTTGGGAATTACCGTGCATGTTCTGGAACACAGTGTTTTTTACAGTTCGCACATATTCTTCTAGACTCTTTGATGATTCAAATTCTAGCATTAGATAAACCCATTTAAAAATTCAGCTATCCAGATCAATGAGTCCTGTCTCGGATGTCCCAAATCGGAAATTCCGAAGCATGTTAAATAAAGTCCTAAAGTTTATATAAAAATAATAGATTACTTTCGTTTTTAAATCTCAGACCAGATTAATTTTGATGTTCTGCACCCACGCACCTATGGCCATCTTCTGACGGCTTTCTCGCAGTATAGCCAATAGGTGATCTTATAGAACCCTTAGGGTATCGCAGTGTCAGCATTTGTTTATTAACTCTAAGTCAAATGCAAAGAATCTTAAAAATAACACCCTGCCGAATTACTTGTATTAGCCATTCAGTTATTCGAACAAATTCTACTTATTTTCTATTGTCTTATGTAGCAGAATCTAGATAATAACTGTGATTATGATTTAAGATTTCAAAGTCATATTTTCTCAAGGCTTATAATGTGTAATGATATGCATACATTCATATCACACATATGTATTAATATTTTACTTTTCTCTCTTTTTAACCTTCTACCATAATATCCCATCTTTTTTTGTTCACAACGAACAATCCTTCCATATTTGGCAATGCACGTAAAAACACCATCCACCCACCCAACCATACCCCAAATACAGATATGCTGCTTCCTTGGATTCCTGTGTATTGTTTGCAGTTCGGTGCAATTGCACAATTTTCGTGGCTGTTTCTACAATGTAATGGTTGGACTGTCATTTCTGCTTTCCGGCATTATGCTGCTCGCGCGACTCTTTCAAGTATGGCAGCGTAAATTCTTAACATTTAATGCCATCAAATATGAATTGTACGTGAATGCCTTTTTGGCGTGCTGTTGCTTTATTGGCGGCTGTGTCAGTATCTCGCTGGATGTGATAGCGTATACAGTGGCAACAGTAAGTACCCAAATTAAGATTATGAATTTTTTCCATTTGTTTTGTTTTGAATATAAACAGAAAGTAACTCATTAATTTGTCATTTCAGTTCTTTATTTTCCTCGCATTTAGCTTCTATACATTCGATGCCTATTTGTGTTATCGCATCTATCGTCAGTGTGATGCTCAAACGCAGACTCAAATCCCAGTGCCAACACAAGTGGCTTAGCTTAACCAAAAATCAAACACAAGAAATCAACTGTATTATATATTTTCTAAATTATTATTTATAATTATGTTGTTGTTTATTTTTTATCGTATCATATAATATATGACATACAATTTTTTTTATTGTTGTGATTAAAATTATAGAATAAATTATGTTTAGCTGTAAGAAGTCAAGTGTTAATAAAGTGCACAAACAATTTGATAATAATAAATTATTATATTTATTGTAAACAAACACACATCCGGGGATCTATACTTGAGAGAAACAGATTACTGCATTATTGTAATAAGAAATCAGTAAGGAAAGGCCGAATGTCGGACGGGGCCGACTATATGATACCCTACACCACTACTCCAATATACAGGGCTATGCATTTCGTGTTTTCCAAAGGAAACGTATATTATAAAGTTTGAACGTTGACATTATATGTGAAACATGTAATCGTCCGATTTAATGTAAATGGTGCACCGAAGTCCCTATATATCTCTCGATTTGCACGAAATTTGGCACAGCGTAATGAATTGAATTCAGATTTAGATATAGCTCGCATATATATTTTCGTCCGATTTAATGTAAATGTTCACCAAAGTCCCTATATATCTTTCGATTTGCACGAAATTTGGCACAGCGTAATCAATTAGGCCTAGAATGATGTGTGTGTTAAGTTTCCTGAAAATCGGTTCAGATTTAGATATAGCTCCCATATATATTTTCGGCCGATTTAAGGTAAATGGTGCACCAAAGTCCCTACATATCTTTCGATTTGCACGAAATTTGGCACAGCGTAATTAATTAGGTCTAGAATGATGTGTGTGAAATCGGTTCAGATTTAGATATAGCTTCTATATCCGACCAAATGAAAAATTTTGTATCGGTTGCAGAATGTCATGTTTATGGATCTAATTTCATTTTACTGGTCCTTTAAAAATGCGACATCTGTTAGGATTCATCTGTGGAATATACCCAAAGTGGTGAAGGGTATTATATAGTAGGCCGCGTCCGACTTTATTATTTTTCCTTACTGGTTTTACAATGGAAAAATCTTTCATTGTAAAAAAATTGCGGTTACGTCTTTTTGAACACCTGTTTTTATATGAAGGGGTTGCCAGATCGAAACAAAATTTAACATGTGTTCATAACAGAGATGGAAGTTTCCAAAACACTTAACCTTTTTTCTGTTTATACCGCGCTTTTTGTGCTAGGCTAAGGACTCTCCGAACTATCCTCTTACATAGATAGTTCAACTAATTTAAACAACCCATTCAAATTTATGAAAAATTGCATGTCAATGGGACAGACTTGAATTCTTTAGATTGTATGTATGGAAGCTATATGTAAATCTGCAGCCATGGGCGTATTTTAGCAACCATGGCATCCACAATTTGTTATGCTGCAGCACAGTGCGCTGTCCAAAATTTATCATACGAAAATATATAGCGGTAATACACACATCTGAATATACAATACACATTATTTCAGGTTGAACTTGTTACGTTGCGCGATTGGGATGAAGTTCCCAATCGGATACACTTCTTTGGTACACCATTTTGTATAAATCGGATGCAAATATATTGGAAAACCATATTTAAATCTGAACCTGGGTGCACCATTTGCAAAAAATCGGTCGGAAAATTTTGGAAGCTATATCTTAATCTGAACCGGGAGCTATATATAATATGGATTTCAACAAAACATCGCACACATCAATCTGAAATTTTGTCTTAATCGGACAAATATTGGAAGTTTGTGTGCACCATTTAGATAAAATCGGACGAAAATACGTATCGGAGCTATATTTAAATCTGAACCGATTTCCGATTTTTCAACTTCAATATGGTTCGACCTTGGACCAAATAAGTGACCTGTGCTAAACTTCATCCAATTCGAATCAATTTAACATGAACAGACGGACGGACGGATATGCATAAATCGACAGTGGGAAAGAGAAAGTGATTCTATGCATATCCTCAAAAGGAACCATGTGTCTATCCCGTTTACTTTTGCCTGTTACAAACATATGCACAAAGAAGTAATACCCTGTACCAAAGTGTGTATAAGGGTGGCCCCACTATCGAATAGTTCGGTTGGAACAACGTGTCTAAAATCCCCAAAAACCGAATATTGGAGCATGCCTTTATATGGGGGCTACCCTGAAACGTGAGTCAATATAAATAGTTTTTGGTACGGAGATGTGTTATACAATGAGAACCAAGCCATTGCGATGGAAAAAGTGCAGGTGTCGAATCCGGATCCCTGCTTTTGAAATGGATAACCTTTTATTTCAGAAGTATCGATATATGTGGACTACACCTAAGTATGTTTTTACACGGTAGATTGGTTCCAGAAGAAGCCGTGTAAAAAAGACATTGATCTTATACATAAAGGGAATAATTCCCCTAAATTAGTGCTATTCACATTTGCTTTGACCAGTACAAATTGTTTGTACGCACTAAAGGGGAATTCACTTAAATCTTTAAGCTAGTGCTCGCAAACTATCGATGGTTTCAGACTTTTTTCTTTCATAAATACTTTTTTGTGATATGAACATACTTCGCAAAAATTAAATTTGACAAAAAAATTTAAGTACATAAAATTTCAAATCGTGCTAAATGGAATAAAATCGTCTAAAAAATTAAAAATATTCAATTTCAAACCGTGTTATATCAAAATCGTGTACAAAAAGACCGTGTAAAAACAGACTTAGGTGTATACGTATAAAATATCTAATTACAGCTAGGTCGGTTGAAAAACGGGTTCATTATTCTCAAGTACAATAGGTTATGTATGGATCAAATCGAAAGGCGGCCGAAGATTACCAAATCGATTCAAAATTAACTAAAACTGATTAGCTAAACCCGATATTTCGATGAGGCATATTTTTGTCATATCAAACTGTATATAACCCCTGTAGGCTAAGGGTATAAAAATAACTAAAATCTGTTTATACCCTTCATCACAAAGTGAGCACTACTCATCTATGAGAAAACGAAATGCCAAATTTAAAACTGTTTGATGGGAAATTTCGGACCGAAAATGGGGGGTGACCTTTATATTTATGATATTCTAGAGAGGATTACTTCATAGTTTAATTGCAGCTATAAAACATCACCACAATTGAACCAAGCAAAACAAGAAAGAGTTATGACCCGAACCAGAAAAAACTTTAGTACAATTGTATTTGGTGGACGAATTGTGCTAGATAGGATTTTGGAGAGACGATAATCGTCAACGGCTGTGGTTTATTATAAGTTTTAATTTATCTGTAGTACAGAAAACCTAAGACAGATCCGAGGCCGAAATATCTGCGTTGGAACCGCGAAAGTCCAACTACTGTGGGATAGAGAAGACCACAGTTTCTCTGTTAGGACAGAAAACCAAGTTTTCTATATTTATGGATGCCTGCAGCCGCCGCAACGGTTAACATTCAAAGATGTATACATTGGAGATGTACAAAATTTTCCAAAATTCTCTTGGTATGTATCAATTTCTCAGTTCTGAAAGATAAATTATTATTTATAGAAACAAATTTATCAGTTTTTTGCATAATTTACGTGATATTAAAAAACTATAGTTATAGGTTTGGATTAAATAAAATCACTACTCATTTTGTCGGATGAAAACTTCGCTATCGTGATGCTATTTTATTTTATGTTAAAGTTAACTTCTTCACGTCATCTTTCTTCATTATTAACATTTCATGATGCAGTATATTGGAATAAATAAGTTTATCTTACCTTAGATAACTACCAACTAAATAAATTTTGGTTTAAATTATTTTTCAAATGTATATTTATTAGATTAGTTTGTTTTTCAATAAATATCTCTTGTGTATAGATGTATACTTCATCATATATAATAATATGCATGTACGGTTGTTACACATTTACTGTAATTCATATAATTGGTTTGTTGTTGTTGTAATATATCTTATGCCAATCTTATTAAGGAGACAATCGTACACATCTTTACATTTACTAATTATTCTTTAAGAAAACTGCCATAAATTTCAGATTGATTTTATAAGGATTTGTTGTTGTTGTTACACCTTATTATTAATATAAAGTCTAACAGGATTATAAAGAACATGAAGAACAATTTCGGAAAAATTATTGCAACCAATATTCTTTATAACCATGACGGACTTATTTAGTTTTAAATTGATTTTTTTATATTAACAAATTTAGCCAAATATTTTGTGTATAAATAATACCATAATAAAAATTGATTTAAAAAATATAGATGTTAGGATTAGAAAAACAACGAAATATTTGTTTTCTTGAGTGTTTTATAAAAGTCGATGTTAAATAAATTGGTTTTGTATCAAAAACATAAATACAATTGTTTAACAAATTGATCATAGATTTTATTTGATTTAATACAGTAAACCTTCATTTGTAATGAACTTATAATACTTATAAAATGAAGAAGAAACAGAAGGGAAGAGAAAGTGAGGAAATATGATAACTCATTACAAATTATTTCTAATAGAAGGACTAAATTGATCCATGACTAAGGGTGGGAATAAAATATTACAATACAAAAAAGAGAGAGAGATACAAGGACTTAGTTAGAGATGCAAAAAAGTGAGAGGAAGATAAAGCAAAAATACAAAAATTTAATTTGAAAGTAAAATTGCCATTTGAACAACTTTATAAAGTCTTTTTTAAAGCTGTAAATAGAATTGTTTGTTTCTAGGACCTCTGATCATATATATTTAGTCTATTTTCAATAATCAGAAAGTTCTACAAATTTGTGTGAGTGTGTCTTCTACGGGGGTGGAAGGTGTATCTCTACATTTAAACCTCATCGCTTTGATTCATTTTGAGCTCATTTAGTGTAGCATTAAATCTAGACCATTCATCCCTTGATGGTTGTGCCAAATGATCAGCCACATCGTAGACATGCAGACGACCACTGTCATCGCCCACGCACACATGCTGGCCATTTGGCATCCATGATACACGATTCAATGCTGGCGCATTTTCGACAACAACTGATGCTGTTGGTACTTCGGTGTCTTGATTTAAATTCCATAAATCTAGACGACCGCTACCATCGACAGCAGCAAACAGTGCCGGATGAACGGGAGACCATGCTACATCCATAACATAATCGGAATTATCTTCAAATGAATATAGCGGTTTGTTATCCTTCAATGACCACAGCTTGATTGTCCAATCAATGGATGAGGTAAGGAACAAATGACTGAAATCAGGTGATGATTGATTGTAATGCGTTGAAATGCCAGTTACCGGACCGATATGCTTTTCGAATGTTTCATTAACACCAGATCTCAGGCCGTGACGAGAAGCTGAAAAAGGAGATGAAGAAAAAAGATTTGAATTTAATAAAAATTTCGGTTTTTTGTTAGAATGAATTTTGGGGTATTTCGGTAACAAAAAGGCATCATCTTCGGAGGTCTTTATTATACAATCATCAGTCGTCATAAGATTCCGGAGACTATTTTTTAAAATCTATCATATCTTTCAATAGAAAAAAATCCCGAGTTCCTGAAAACAGATTCTATGGAAACAAATTCTTTTGTGCTTTGTTAATTTTCGTACAGAAGTATAATTGATCTGCATCTGAAGACTGATTTTCTTATATAAAAATATATCACTTACTGAGAACTATTGCTTTTTAAAAAAAATCATTTGCCGAAGTCTATTTTTCCATTAGAAAAAATTCTCAGTTTTCAATAGAAATAACTTCAAAGCACCTGAGGATATATTTTTCTTTTTGTTATTGCAAAATAGTCAGGCGTTTTTTTTTAACAAAATCCTCAAAAAATTAAGAAACTCTGTTTCTGCTTCTACGATTATCTTTTGTCACATACAAAAGTTGCAGTGTAAACCCGGATTTGCAGAAGGCCATTAGAAAAATTCTCAATTTTCTTTTAAAATAATTCCACAATTTCAGATCTTAAAGATTACATTCTCCAAAGGAAAATTCCTCACTTCTTGAGGATGTGAGGAATTTTCTCCCAAGGACAACCTTATTTCAATATAAAAAATTTTCAGTTCATTAAAACAATTTTCCATTTACCGAGTGCTATATTTTATATAGAAAAAGTCATTAGTTTCCAATAGGAATAATCCCATAGTTCCTGACGACAACTTTTCCTGAGATTTGATTGAAATACATAAAAGAACATTTAACACATTTTTTCACCCTTACCTGAATACACATAACCATCTTCGCTGCCCATTACCAAACTATTTATCTCATTTGCCGGGAATGCCATACATGTTATGGCTATGGCTTTCTTTTGACTCTGTTGCAGTTCCATTGTATCCTGAGGTTGTGACAACATATCCAAACTCCATGAACATAATTTACCATCCGATGAAATCGATATGACATTATGAGCATTTTGTGTTCCCACCATTTGTAGACAATACACCGGGTGGGTGTGAGCTGCAGCACTCAAGGGTGTACGCTGGATGGGTGTACGTTTTTGTACACGATTATCCCAGAGTACAACTTGACCGGAATAGGTACCGCCCAGAATTAAATTGGGATTGAATTTAGCAAAACATGTTGACATAACGGCACTCTGACAATGGAAAACATCTTCGGGTGTGTGTTTTTTGAATTTGGTATTCCAAACCATAACAACACCGTCCGGTTCATTGGGACTTTCCTGGGGAGGAAAAGAAAAATACATGATTTTAAACACATCAAATAAATATGTTTGTGTGGTAACGAACTTACCTCATTATTGTGATAGGAAGCCACTACCAATTCAGGGAAATGTGAAGACCAATCCATGCATGTAATGCAACGATTTTTCGACCAGCGATCATCATAGAACACACGATTCAACGATAGACGTGCATGTGATTTTTCATCGTTGGCCTCCTCATTGTCACCGATACGAATGTAGTCCGTATAAATATCGACATTCTCCGATAAGGCTCTCTCCATAATACGGCCAGCGCGTAATACAAACCTTTGGAAGTCCTCCGACAAAATAATCATTTGTTTTTGTTCCTCAGATAGTTCTTTGACTGCAAGGGGAATTACAAGGCAAATTAAAAACTAAATACCACATTAAAAATTATATTTTGTTTACTTACTCTCCTTCTTTTCCTCTTGCTCCTTCTTTTGTTCCAGCGGTGTAATGGCTGGGGCAACATCCTTCACCGTTGGCAAACCATGTGTCAAATAGCCAGGCGGCAATTTCGAGGTGAAACCATCCAAATGTGGCATCGAACTCTCTTCGTCATCTCCTTGGGCATCAAATGCAAGCACTGTTTAAGGTATAAAAACTAACACAGCTAGAGGAACATGACAATCGACAGAACAGGAACAAATTCTACTATACTTTTTTGTAATTCGTTTCTTTTCTTTATTTCTGTTTTGTTTACTTTTCTCATTATTTTCGTATCCATTTTGTAATTTACTTAGAAAAACTTAAGCTTTTTAAGACATATAAAAGCCATGTTAGATATTACTTACAAAAATTAATCACATTTTGTAATTAACAGGTTGTCTTAAGAAAACAACTGAGGTGCATTTTGTGTGTGTTTTTGAGAAGGGGGAAGCAGGTTACAACAAACAATAATTGAAAAAAAAATATAAATGAATAAAATACTTTACTTTCTTTTAAACTTATAAGCAGATTCGAAATATATGTTAAATATAATGAGGATTTTTGAACTCCTGCATGCTACCTAAAAAGTGAATATATAGCATATATCTGTTACACATACACTCGAAACTTCCCAAAAAAGGCTGTTAAAAATCGAGACCTATAAAATATGAATCCAGAGACTTGATCTGTGTTTGTCGGAAGACCTATAGTTCGTCACAAAAGGGGCAAAAAGCCGTAGCAGAAGTGATGTACCTTATTAGTCTTTAACGTGACAAAAATAGTAAAAAGTCATCTCAAGTCCAAATATGTCTGATATATTTTCTGTGTCGACCTCAGACCATTCAAGAAATGAGAGGTTTTATATAAATAAATATGTCTTCGAATTTGAAGATAGAAATTTAGAAACTAGATATCTTTGAGGACCGTTAAAAAATGTTTTTTGTAAAGGAAAGTCTATTGATTTTAGAAACATTGTAAGGAATCTCTGATTTGTCTTAAATACTGTTGAGAGTTAGAAAGTTAGTATTCATGACAATGGCTGAAGGCATTTTTCTCCAAGTACTAGACTAGAGTGATTGGAGAGCTTTTTAATATACGCTTAATAGAAGGTCAGAACTTCTTTATATTTGACAAGTTTTCTTACGGGAGACTTAAAGTCCATTTACATAGTAAAGAGGATTTTTTTGAATAGAAATAGAAGGGAAAGATTCTCGTCTATAAAATGACGAAAACCTCAAAAGGAATTCTAATAAAAGGTCAGAAAGGATTCCTAATATAACCCTGTAGGTCTTCCCAAGAATATTTTTTACATATTTTTATTTAAGACCGGGAGATTTCCTTATAAAATACCTGTAGGTTTTCTCATGTAAGTACAGCACGGTTTCTCATGTAAGGTATTCTAATAAGGAAGTCTTCTTATAGAAATTAATGAGGTCATCTCATAAAAGTCTCGAATACATTTTCATAGATGACTTGTTTTTCTCATAAAAGGTCAAAAAGTCTCTTCACAGAGGACTAAATGTTATTTATTTTTTATAAAAAATCTCAAAGACTTCTTGTAGAAAACCAAATGATTTTCTCATAGAAGGTCCGAAGAATTTTTTATTGCATACCAAAATGTTTTGCTACAAGAATAAATGTGGATTTTTTCTACAGGGAAAAATATCGAAAGAGGCAAAAAAAAAAGACCTAGAGTTCTTTTTTTTATAAAAAAAACACATGTCGATTGGTGGAGAACATTTTAATAGAAGGTATACTTTATAGATGGTCAAAACTTCTATAGAGGACACATGGGTCTTTTCACGGAATTTTGGAAAGTCCATATAGAAAGACGTCCGGAAGGATTTTTTTTAACAATAAAGCTTTCTTTACAGAACATCAAAAATATTTTTTATAGAAAGCTAGAAAACCTTCGCATTATAATAGAAGACCAACAGATCTTCTCCAACATAATCATGTGATCTACTGTCGATATATTCGACCTACATTTCGATATTCAATCCAAAGTTCAAGACAATTGGTTTAATAAATAACCACAAACTCAATTCTTAATCCCGGTCGGAATAAGGCAATCTAATACCACACAATTGCCTCAAATATTTAGATAACCCTCCGAACTTAATCTTCGTAACGTAATGGTAGTCCTCGCAAAATAAGAATGTCATCAGAGATTCAATAGTGTACAACAACTTTGCACAACCTATCCACATACGACTGCTGAGGAACAGACCGTGAATTATAACACAATATTTGTGGACGTCAGTAGTATTCGGAATTTCGACTTAGAGAATTCACATTATGAATAGCAAAGTAAGAAGTTCTGTAAGGTAGTTGTGGTAGGAAGACAGTTTTCAAAACCCCACTCAAGAAATAGGAAAATTCGGGGTTTACTATATGGACTGCTGAGATGAGAGTGCCTCTGAATATGCCTCAATATCCGCGGAGTCTCATTTTACAATGTGGATCATTTGACCGCACATATTACAACTCTTGACACTTGACAATTTACAGTTACAATCAGCTTAAAGAGTTGATTTTGCTGGCTCTGTATACACAGGATATCCTGATCAGAGGGGATTGTTACAAAATAAATTCGGGAAGCTTACCGCATTACCAACATACAGAAGGGTCGGACAAAATCGAAAGGCATTAAATCACCCATCAACGAACCTTCTTCTGAGAATTTGGTGAAGTTTACTAGTAGTTGATGCCAATAAAGCATCGCAGCTCGAATATGGAACGTTACCATCTAGTCAGCAGAGGCCGTCATTTGATTCTCCATAGAAATAACCACAATGCAGTGGACTGGATGGCATATGGGGTTAGAATTAGGGAGAAGGAATTCCTTCTGTACAGGTAACACTTCAAGATCGCGACAGTCACTAGAAACAGCATCCTGCTACAAAGAAGCCGTAATTGCTACAGACTGTTCAATCTTCTGTCTCATATGCATCTATGAAGACAGTTCGCAGTAAATTTCGAATCCAACGCCGTTCTGAAGCGACAACTCGGCAAATGGTTCCTAATGGCCAAAGAGTGCAATTATTGAAAAAAGCTGATCCTAAAGGCAGGATGTTGTGAGAGCCATTGGTTGCTACTCGATTGGCATCTAAAGACCATTTTCGTAACGGACGAATTTGGCCATTAACAGATAAATTTTGATAGGATTGATGTTTTGAATGTTATAAACAAGGTTATAAAATAATAAGACTTTATTCAACAGTTCAAGCTCTCAAACCCCATAAAACGTCATATTCAACAACATATGTCTGATTTACCGGCACAATTTTCGAGTCCAAGGTCCTTTGAAAATTTATCCAAGAAGGAAGTAGGGAATAAAGTACCTTATTACAACCCCAATAAATGATCACAAAATTTGAAATCGTTGCTTTTATTGTAGCTGCTATATTGTTTTTACAAAATAGACGTCGAGGAGGGCAGATGTTTTAAATGCTACAGTAAATTCTCTTCAAGTGCATTTTTACTGGCTCTTCATTCTACTGATATCCAGGATAAGGCAGTAAATTATCTGTAATCCGTTTGACCTCAGAAGAAAAATATTCAAGTTCTCGGCTCTTTTAAAATATTGACGAGACTGAATAAACCAATTCTGTTGAAAAGAATAAATGAACGATTGTTAGAACGCGGGTAGACTGTGAACTCATGTGCCTGTGACGAAACAATATCCACAGTCTGTTGCAGTAATACATATAGGGTATCCTGAGGAACAACATCCTGTTGCAAAGCTATCATGGGGGTGCTGCCAGGTTGTATAATTATGAAATTATCATATCGACAATTCTAAATGATTTCAAAAATGTTTAGAGCATGAGTCTTTAATGTAGCTGAGCCATATGTAGATATTATGTATTACTAATCATTTAACTATATTTTATATACATCACTTCCATCTTGTATATACAAAATTCCTTGTGAAAAAATGAGATTTTAAAAATATTAAGAAAAAAATGAGTTTTGTGTTTTTGGTTAGAAACATGTTAAAATGCAGCTTTTGTATGGCAATTAATCAAAATTAATTCAAATATATAATTCAAGCGTGCAAAATAGGGTTATTAAAAAACAAATGAACAAACACACAATTAAACATTTCGAATCTGCAAAGTTGTAAAAGAAAATAATCAACTAAATAATAAAGAGGAAAAAATGTACATTTATATAAAACAGGAACAAAATATGGTGTTTTTTGTTATAATGTTGTTGTTTGTTTACCACACATACAAGATTTACCTTTTTCTGTAAGGTGCGCAGATGTCTTATAAACTGTTTGCAAGAGGTTTGAAAAGGAATAAAACTACTTTAATGGTTGGATTATTGATTTCTATTCGAAAAAAAAATGGAAAATGTGAACATCAGTTTGCCAAAAAACTAGTTTTTATGTAATGTTTAGATTTTAATTTTGGTTTAGATCGATTTCATTTTATAATCGAACCATTAAGTATGATTTAAATGAGAGAAAAAAGAAGGAAAATAACACAGATAAACATATGTATATATTGTTTGTTTGTTGTATTATGAATTAGTTTTGAATTTATACACACACACACAAAATTAAATTTGCAAGTTTGTACATAAAGTCTGTTTGTTTGAGTACCTTCTTTTTGGACCAATTTTTGTTTGTTTGTTATCAAAAAGTTATCATTGCACAGTAAAAGAAAATGAAGAATAATTTTGAAAATCTGAATTTTGATTTATAAGCCGGAGAAAACAATGAAAATTATATTTTTTTCTGGTGCATCAGTGCAAGTCAAACAATTCGATAGTTTGTTTTTACATATTTTTTAAAATTAATTAAAGTGTAATTTAATTTTTTTTTTTTCATAAAAAAAATCTCCACCCAATTTTTTTGATTTCAATTCATTTTTGTAATTTCTGCTTGTAAGTTTTTTTTATTTTAAAATTAAATATAGATAAACTTTGTTTAAGAATAAATGGCTTAAAATTAATTTTCATTCTTAGTGGTGCATATTTTTGGGCGCAAAGAATTATCAATATAATAAGGGGCGAATTAGATGACGCCAACGATGAGAAGAAGAGGGAGGGATCCATTTTTGTTGTTTATGTTACAAGTTTACCGATCAATGAATACAAATTAGGAACATTGTTGCTGTTAAGTGTGTGTTTTCTTTTAATTGTTTTGCCAAAAAATTAAATTTTTGAATTTTATTTATTTGAAAATTGTATAAATATATTATTTTATGGAAGGGAGGTATGTGTAATGTGATGAAATATTACTAAGAAATGTAAGATGTTATTTCCCCAGAATAAAACCAGAGTGGTGAGTAGAAGTCTATCAATAATAAAAGATTCAATTTTATATAATCGATATTTCATTAGAAATCGTTGTAAAAAAACTGAACTTGATCAAAATTTAAAAATAAGCAAACCAAAATTGAACGTTTTGAGGAAGTATGATCACAGAGAAGCAGAAATTTGGAACTATATTTTATATTGCACAACTCTGTTCAGTCTATACTGAACAAAAAGAAACGACATACGTCAAATTTAACGACACAATTTTCCAGTCCAAGGTGATGTACCCAATAATTTATGTAATGTCACGGTGAGATACAGGACGAATCGGAAAATAATATGTCGTATAAAAACTTTTCTCATTAAGAATGTCCTTCAATTAATGATGAGTGATGTTGCTAGTCAACGAATTTTTGAACCCAGAAGGAAGCAAGGACTTAAGTTCCCAATATTGTAATGCTTGTTTTTATTGTAGCTACTCTACTGTTTTTATATAATGGGCTGATGTATAAGAGTTGGGGGTTCTTTTCAAGGGTCATTCTACTGATATCCAGGCCAAATGGATTTGATGCACTCTAAATGCAGAAAAGTTTGCTATTAGAATTTAATTTAAATTTAATGGGAGAGTCTTAGAGGAAATGGCCGAGTGCCAATGGTCTTTAGATTGATCCTCTTATAGATGTTGCCTTGGTACCCTAATTCCCAAATGTCAAAAGAGCAGTGGCAAACCTTTGTCGCGGGAGTGACCGACTTTATGGTTGTTTTAAATTACACAAATGACAATGTTGTGAGAAAGAGCAAGTCACACATCAATCTCTTTGAGAACTACCATCTAGTCAGCAGAGACCATCAATGGATACTCCAAAGAAATGTTGGAAACCCCACGGTCAACTCCAGCATCTAAATGTGTTAAGTCTAAAAAGACATTGGACAGGAAGAAATATCGGTGGTCAAGACCCTACTACAATTAGATATAACAAATTCCTTCTGATTAGGCGGCACATAAAGTTCACGAGGAAGTACGAACGCGGAACTCTTAATCGAAAGAATTTAGAAATTGCGTGCAACGGCTCCCAATACCTCAGTGAATGTGGTAAAACGAATAATAATAGGCAGGAAAAGTGCTCGGAGCAACCGCAACGACTTCAATGGGTTAAAAAAATGCACGAACATGTATTTCCTGGTTTGACAGCCCTTGGTCGGATTCCTCAGAGTCAATCCGGCATTGAACCGGCCGTCGTGGGTTTGCATCGTAACATATGCAGATGATTGTACGATTATGGCGTCAGGGCCAAAAATTGATGACATTTGCGAGAGGCTGAACCACTATCTCGTGGATATCGCAGACTTTTTCCGGTCGAGGAATATGGAAATATCGGCATCTCCGCTGTCCATCTGTTTACCACATGGACATCGGAGATGCAGCTGTACTTGAATGTGCAGGTACAGGCATCCACAATTCCGAACACCAATTACCCCAAGGTTCTAGGGGCCACATTCGATAGTCTTTACAACTCGTCCGCGCAAGCCACATCGTTTTGCGATAAAGTCAGGAGCAGAAACAAGGTTCTCAAGTCGCTAGCCGGCAGTACTTGGGTAGCTGACAAGGAAACCTTGTTAACGACTTACACAGCAATATACCAGTCTGTCGTAAACTATGCAGCGCCAGTGTGGTCCGCTAACGTCAGAGCAACGCAGTGGAAAGTCTTCAATCCTGCCAGAATGCCGACCTGAGGACTGCAACAGGGTGTCTCCTCATGATCCCAATTGACCACTTACATGAGAAGACGAAGGATCCTTCCTGTGCGTCAACACAACAAAATGTTGTCGATGCAATACCTGCTTGGATGTTATAGGAGTAGCCATCCAAATAGTTAACTAATGGATAGGCACCTACCAGCTAGGCATGTCAGGAAGGATCTCCATGATTTGGAAAGGGAGGTCCAAAGGTACAAAAGGGAACCTCTAGATCAAAAGGTCTATCAAGCAGGGTTGAATCGTATTCACACGGATGGAGTTGAGGAAGCAATTCGAGCATATCGAGAATTCGAGATCACCCGCCTACGATACCTGCAGAAGAGCAGCAGCTACCTCGACAAACCAGAGTGGTCTTGGCACAACTAAGATATTGGGCACGAATTGACATATAACTGCAAGCATGTGGTAACGGACCACACGGCATGCTATACCTATTCAACTGCCCAGCCAAACCCACTCACCTAATCCCATTTTCTCTTTGGACCGATACAGGTGGTAACCTTTCGAACTTATGCATCAGTATCGACTAAAAGGGACAGTGAGAACACTACCACCTTCTGATGACCAAAGAGTAGTCCTCCAAAGACCATTTACCTTACGGACGAGGTCCAGGTTGTAAGATTATCCTGCACAAGCAGTCCAAGTCAATCTTAGTCCATCACAGATTATTATATATGAAATCGAAGAATGCATAACTTGCCGATTGGAATCCATGTGAGAAGATAATATCAATTTGGGTAAATCCTCCTCTAATGAAATTGGACTGAATGGGTACTCGGTGAGCATTTTAATATTTTCAATACTCGGCAATATTTCTAAGGAATCGAGTACTGTTTTCTTCAGACACACGCTCTAGAACCACTATAAATATGTTATAGGTTTCACAATAGATGTATAAATGTAAGTTTAATTTGTTCAGTTCAATTTTGGTTTGTACACATAGATAAATCATTTTCTTCATGCTGCTACAACGATTTCAGTATTTTTTTTTCAAATTTTGTGTTATTCACATTATTGTGTAGTAAAGCCAGTGTTATGAGAGAATAAAAACTGGGTAGCACTGTGTTAATGCATGCTTTATATATATATATATATATATATATATATATATATATTTAAAAGTGATTAGCAATATGTTTGTATGTATATCAAAAAGTATGAAAATATTATTTTGAAATTTTGAAGCATTTTTAAATTGTTTGAATAATTTACCAACACCAATTAAACTCACCTGATATCCTACTAGTTTGCAATAATATTCAAATGGTTTTATTTGCCACGTTATTGAGATATAAGTCTGAGTGGAAAATCAGACTACCACCAGATTTTTTTAATTATACAAAAGAATACCGAAAATTATAATTGGTAATACAAATTCTATATCGTGAAAAAAACATTATTTACAGAAACCATTTTATTTGGCAAATAATTTGGATAGATTCTAAATTTCGACTGATATATACACTTTTAAAGCCTCAACGGTTGTCAAAGGACAAGTTCCAAATATTTTAAAAATGCTTCAAAAATTTTATAGCTTTAGATATATTTAGTTATAGCTCATCTGGACATTACAAATTCGTGCCAAAATGCATGAATCGGTAATAAACAAGCCAAGAGACAATGGAAAACCAAGAGATAGACAACATTTACAAAAGCATTAACACAGACAACGATGATGAGTGTGATGGATGTGAAAGAAGTTTACATATAACAAGGAAATGATACCTACTTAAAGAAATATATTCGAAGTTTATCTATTATTCCTTATTTCGAAAAAGGTGAGTGCATGTTATTATTTGAAAATGTTATGATTTAAATTGAATACGTTTTTTAGAAACCCAAAATATTGTTTGTTTACTTGAAAACTACTAGACGATAAGTTTCCAAAATAATGAATAAATCAAGTTTTAATTTCTTTTCATTTACTTTTTGTTGTTGTTTTGTTCAAAACGCAGAATTTTGACGTTCCTATTTTGCTTCATGTCGATTTATTCCGTTTACTGTGGGCGTATAATTTCAAAAGAGTACCTACCTGTGAACTCATCCTCCCATTCTAAACCCGGATTTAGATTGTATTCATCTTGAAAAATAGAAAATTAAAAAAAAGAAAGATGTTGCAACATTGTTGTTCTTGATTGATTTTTTTGTTTGTTTGGAAATTCAAGAAGATTTGAGTTTGAAAAATAAAGATTGTTTTTGTTTTTTTGTTAAAGAAATAAAAATTAAGAGAGAAAAAAATATGTACGAAAAACAAATGAAAATAAAATGGAACCCCATATATGTATTAATATATTTCAAACTAGCTAACTAACCATTAAACAAATTGTTGTAAAAATGTAGAAAAAGAGAATGAAGGGAATGCAGTTCTAAACTACTACACCATCCATAATATGTGTGTTTTAAAAAATATTTTATTTGTAATTAAAAAAATATTTCATATGGAATAAAAAATACGCTTAAAATTCAATCCTATTTACAAGATATTTAAAAATTGTCCATTACATTATTGTTGAACTCACGCTCAACATCCAAGAACGCCGAGATTAAGTGTTCTGAATCCAACACCCAAAAGTTGGAAGTTCAAACGAAGAAGGCATATTTAAGGACAAGTTTTTACAGCCAAAACGGGAATCATTGGCATGCAAATACTACTGTGCGTTATTAAGGCAGTAAACTATATTCAACCCTTCTGAAAGGGCTGCAAACTAGCAGTTGCATCTGTTTAGAATTGATTTTATAGCCTAATGGTCAGCATATAGTTTGTCAAGTTATTGAATCAATATTGTGTTCGGAAGATGCTCTTGGAAAGGGCGACCTTGACATAACATACGTAAGAATAGGGTCAATGAATTTAAAACTATGTAATATTCGTCCGATCTTTCGGCTTTTCGACTCCAGATTCACTCCAGTAGATGAGCGAATTGCTATAATCCGCATAAAAGCGAAGTTCTTCTACATCAGTCTTATTTGCGCCCATGCTCCGACCGAAGACAAAGATGAGCAGACCAAAGAAATATTTTACGAGCGCCTAGAAACAGCATATGATCGCTGCCCTAGCCATGACATTAAAATTCTGCAAGGAGATTTTAATGCAAAAATCAGCCTTTATGGAGAAACATTCGACAACGGCATGAGGTTGATTGACTTCGCGGCAGTAAAAAACATGGTAGTTAGCAGCCCGAGATTAAAGCATCTCGATATACACAAGGCCACCGGGATTTCTCTTGATCAAGCAACGAGATGTGAAAAAGGCAGCGTATAGGGCAACCCTGCAGATAGTAGCAACACGTAATGTGATGGAGAATTATCGGGAGAAAAGGAGAGAGGAGAAACGTGTTTTCAGAAAAATGAGCAAATCGAGATGTACAGGAGTCAGAAAATTTTACCAACGAGTAAAACACCAAACCGAAGGCTTTGGTGCAGGCATATCCTCCTGTAGAGATGAAGAAGGAAACCTGGTGACAGATACAGACAGCGTGCTGAGGATCTGGAAGGAGCATTTTGAAAAGCTTCTGGTATCAAATAGTAGCGGCGAAGAGGATACCCCAGAATCAATAATAGATGGTGGTGTAGAGTGTATACCACCTAGCCAAGATTAGGTCAGAATAGCAATCAATCGGCTGAAGAATAATAAAGCAGCAGGTGCCGATTAGTAAAATTTGGCTCGAGGAATGCATGCTCAATGATTGGAACCGCAGCATCATGTGTCCCGTGCCCAAAAAAGGAGACAAGACGATATGTGCCAACTATAGAGGAATAAATCTCCTTCTCATCGCATATAAAGTGTTATCCAGCGTGCTGTGTGAACGACTATTGGATCATACCAATGCGGCTTCAGACCTAGCAAATCCACCATTGACCAGATTTTCACTCTGTGCCAAATCCTGGAAAAAAAACCCACGAAAAACATATCGACACATCCCAATCCGTTCAGAGGTGTTTAAAGCCATATCTGCGTTTGCATTCCTGCAAAAATAATTCGGCTATGCAGGATAACTTTAACTGGCAGCAGTTAAAGTCGGAAAAGATCTCTGGGCTCTTTAATACCGAACGAGGATTAAGACAAGGTGACAGTTTGTCCTGTGACCTTTTTAACATACTGCTGGAAAAAGTCATACGAGAGTCATATGTTACTCGCCTACGCCGATGACATCGACATAATGGGTCGAACATTGGGAGCGGTAACAGCCACCTTTGAACAAATTAAGAAGGATTCTGCCATAGTGGGTCTGGCAGTAAACAACGAGAAGACCAAGTTGATGGTATCAACGCGCAAGACGTCCAAGACAGCTTCGAGGAAGTCAAAGATGTTATATACCTCGGTACCGCCATAAATAAAACTAATGACATCAGTTTTGAATTTCGGAGAAGGATAGTGTTGGCCAACAGATGCTACTATGGTCTGAGTAAGCAACTCAAAAGCAAGGCCACCTCCCGTCAGACCAAACTCACACTCTACAAGATGCTGATACTACTACCCCCTATATGGATCCGAAGCATGGATACTTGCGCAAGCAGATAAAGCAGCTCTTGAAGTGTTTGAGAGAAAATTTCTCGAAATATCTATGGGCCGATCTGTGTTGGCGGTGAATATCGCCGTCGAATGAACCACGAGCTATAACAGCTATTCTCGGACATTGGCATTGTTAGACGTATTGAGCTGCAGCGACTACGTTGGGTAGGTCATGTTCTGAGAATGGATGAAGATGCCCCAGCCCAAAAGGCATATAAAAGCGAACCAGCTGATGGTTCACGCAAAAGGGGAAGACCCCGAATATGATAGAAAGGTCAAGTGGAAGATAACATTGCCAAATATGGTCTTTCAAATTGGAAAAACTGCGAAAAAGACCTGCCAATGGAACGAAAGTTCTGTCACAAGCCAGCTAAGTAAGTAAGATCTTTCGGCATATAATAAATTTCGAAAGAATAAATCGAATTATGAATTTCAAGTGAAAATAAATTACAATTGAATTTTTTAAATTACAAATAATCTTTTTTTTTTAATAACACATAAAAATGGTGTAGCTTGTTTTTATAAAATTTGTCTATAAAAAATAGAAACAACATGCAAAAAACATTAACAAAATGTTAAACCCCTAATAATTTGCTCGCTAAGTGATTGAGAATTATTTATGAAAATTAAAAAATAAATATAACGGGAATTTGGTTAAACACAAGTGATGATATCAAAGTGTTTAATTAGAAAAACAAATTAATAAAAATAAATAAACATCTATATAATTAAATATTAATGAATGATTATATTTTTGGTTTGATTTGGGAAGATAAACCTAGAAATGTTAGAAGAATTTTAAAAAACTAGAATTAATATTAAGAAATTAAAATTAAATAGAAAAAAACATTCTACAACTTATTTAAGTGAACTTAAAAGAAATGTGGTATTTTTAATATTTTCTAAAAAATAAAATATCCACTAGAAATATAAAAATAATATTTCTTAGTTATTATTGAAATTAAAAAAATGGGTGGAGAATAAAAAAACAATATATAGTTGATTGGTGGTGATTATAATTATTGCTCTCGATTACAAAGTATATATACAAATAAATTATGAAAAAAAAGAATAATAACAATTTAAATATTATTGAAATGCCATATTTTTTGTGGATAACTAACTTGTTTTTGAAATCAATTATTGTTGTTGTTGTTTTTGGTTAAACAAGTTCGTTGCGAAAGTAATGGAGAAATTAAAACGAAACAAAAAAGTTTGTTTTCTTTGTTGGTTGTTTTAAATCAAAAACATCTAATTGTTAAACTAAATAAAAACAAAGTTAAAACTAAACGATTAAATTTAAACAAAAAAAAAGATTTTAACCTATACTACAAAAAACACTTATACACAAAAAATTTAAATAAAATAAACATATCTAACTCGCAAATGCTAATATTTAAAAAAATAAAATTTCTACACGCATAGCTAGTACATTATACAATTTACACAATAAAACTCACCATAATAGTCCGCAGCATGAGCTAAAAGAAGGCAACAATAGAAGAAGAAGAAAAGAATATTTTTTTGTTATAAATTAGCAAATTAATGTAGACAGGATTATTTATCTTTTTTTATAGACTACACAATTACTTAAGATTTACAAATTATAGACTATTAAGAAAAGTCAAATGATTTCAAAATTATGTTGGCCTTTGGGGGAGGCAATCGTTTAGAAAGTTTTGTATAATTTTATTAAAGGTATTCTTTGCTCAACATACACCAAAATAGATACATACTAAGACGTTGGGTATTGGGTATATACTTATACATAGAATCGCTTTTTGGGTCGATTTATGAACTAGATCTTTGGACATTTTTAAAAAGGTGACTCATTGGACTGCTTCTTATACTAAGAAAACTTTTGGATACCGCACTTATGAGGGTTTTTTTTTTAATCCGAAAGGTGTATAATTGTTTTCAGACCTTATAATTGCATTAAGCATAAAAATGACCGATATCAACTCCAAAATATTTGCAATCCATCTTATCGACGAACCCGTATAGCTTCTAATGCATTTTCACAAGGCCTTTATCGGACAAGTTGGACATATGTACTATTGTGGTTGCTCATCCATTACAGATTTATAATTTGAAAGTCGTAATATGTTTAATAAAAAAAAACTCCAAAAATCATTATCAATATATTTTCATTCTGAAGACAAGCTAAAACTAGCTTCGTGGGATTAAATTAATGAAATGTAAATATTCTCAAAAAAATTCTCAATAAGTACATAAGTCCATACCAAATCCCCTATTATTTAATTAAATCATTTGACTTTTCTTGTCTACACAAAATCGAATAAAGTGCTTCACAAAATAATTATTAATAATAATGGTGTATACAAACAAATTTCGATTTTCATCAATATAGAAAAATAAATTTGTTATAACAAGCATATACTTATGCAATGTGTGATATCATGAAAAAGATCAGAAAAAATAAATAATTAATTAATGCAAAATCTTAAAACAAAGAAATTGTGCATTAAAAGTAAACGAAAAATTAGAAAGGCATTGTTTTTATAGCAAAACAAAAAAAAATAAATTTGTTTAAAAATTAATTTTTTGTTTAATTACCAGTACCTTTGCGTGGTCTCCACCAATCCTCCATATATCCTGACAGAGGTGAGGAGTGGCAAGAAAGAACTGTATTTGTTATTTTATTTCACTACGATTTTCATATTCTTTTAATAATAATAATATAATTAGAATAGTATATAATAATATAATTTATATGATTAGCTAGCACAAGAAAACGTTCATAAAAAATTATTTTTTAATTATAGGATTGATAATACATGCCAAATGTATGCAGACACACAGTTGCTTTATGTTTTTGGGGAAAAAAAGAAAAAGTTACCAATTTGTTTTGTAGAGGAGAGTAGGATGAAGTTAAATTAAAACTATTTAAAGAATATTGAAAATTAGTATGGATTGATAATAAATATAAGAATATATTTTAAATAAAATAATTTGTATATTAATTGAATTTCTCAAAACTGACCACTTATCGAAAGTAGGATGAAAAAATATGTTTTTATTCATTAACCCAAATCCTGCGCCAGACATCAAGAATAACCTGTTAAAGATACTGGAATGTCGGACAACCACTATCTGGAAGTGACGTGCTTGTTTAGACAAACATTTTTGCTTGTACCAACATGAAAAAGTGATTATAAAAATTACCAATAGATTTGTATAAGTAAACGAACTTGTCGCAATAGTGTAAAGGTGCTACTTCAAAGGCATGTAGGTCTTATTAGTATGACATCTCAATTTAGTATTGACGCAGAAGTCTGGTAGTACGGAGAACATAACTGATAATCCATATTTGGAACAGACAAACTAGACTGTGTCTTTAGGGGATATACCCAGTATTATACTTTCAATCGTATTGACACTACGAAAATACCCTTTAAAATCATAAACACCCCATACTCAATTAATCGTCGGTAGGTAAATCTGACCTAGCAAAAAGGATAACCTAGTATTTATTAACTTTTTTGAGTTAGAAAGTTTCGAAGCGATAGTGAACTGAAATGATTCGACGATGGAGAACAAATAATATTATTAGTCAAAGTAACGTTTATTTATAACTATATGACGAGATTATTATATTTTGACGAGAGGTTCTACGAAGTTGTTAAAATTAAACTAATATCTAGAATCAAACTAAATGCATTCTACAGACATGTGAACTATAGGACGACACATTTCTCAAAATAACATTATTTGAAAATCATTACATTGGAACATAACACATACCAGTAAAATTATTTTTTTTTTCGAATTACATCTAAACATTCTACATGCTCCATTACTTCTAAAATGTGATGTTTTAATTCAATTCAAAATGTCTTTCTTTGAATTTGTAATTTGTTATTCCATGTTTAATGCAGTTGATCCAATTCGTTATTGTTATAACAATAATTGCATTCAAAATTACAAAATATTTTCATTACTAACTATTGAAAGTGTTACCTTGAAGCGAAGTTTCGGGGTAAACAAAATAGTTGATCTCCCAAAGAGATTTTTTTTTTATAAAAATATCAAATTGTTTTCATGCCAGAATTCGATTTAAAATTTAGTGGCTTATCTTTATTCAATAATAATATTTCAAATCGCTTATGACAAAAACGTTGATGTGGGAATAAAGCCTGCAATTTTTTCTAAACAATCCAATTTCATGGTCCCTAATTTAATTACTTTAAATTATTTTGTTTCATTTAAAAAAGCCTAGATTTAAATAATATATGAAAGAAGTATAACAAATAACATTAAAAAAATGTTACAATTTTGTTTTTAACTCAACGAATGCTCGTTTGAAAGGGTACGATTTTATAAACATGCCATAAAAGCTATGGTCTTTTACAGGGTAAACGGGAAATGACAAATAAATATAATATGACGTATGACTTTAAGAAAAACTTGTACGAAATTTAATATAAATTTGCTTTTGCAAGGCATTCACTTAATTTTGAAAATCAATTAGAATAACTTAACGTCAACAGGATTAATATATAATAGAAAACAATTAACAGTGTAGATATATATTAATTTTTAAATAGGGGAGAATACAAATAAAAAAAATATATAATAATACGTACCATCACGATCATGGCCACCAGTACTTTGTGTTTGTGTTTGCTTAGAATATGTAAGAGGTTCTTTTGGTGGAATGCTAGTTGTCTGGACATTGCAAACAGTCAAGCTTAGGGGCTTTTTGCCAGCACTAAAAAAACAAAAAATAAACCATTAATATATTTTGAAAATACATATAATCTTGGAAACTTTACCTGGGTCCATTCATATTTGTTTGTAAACTGGCATCGGGTGTTTGAGTATTAGAATTATCTGAATTTAATGAATTCACTGAAGACAAAGAAGTTAAAACTTCTGAAACGGGTGCAACGCCCAATGATGAAAGCATCTCATCCAAGTCCCTGAAAAAGAGAATAAAAATTAGAACAAACTTTATTTAAGTAGTTTTATTGTGATATATCTTACTTGCGTTGATCTTTATCATTATTGTTTCGTACAGCAAGTTCTTCCATATCCTTCATTTCTTTTTCACGGCGACGTCTGTCCTTCTCTTCACGCAAAGCGGCCAATCTGGCCTTTTTACGTTCTAATTCCGCTTTGCGATCCATATTGTTATGAAATTTATTTGTGACACTTGATAAGTGGAAGTTGTTGCCTTGTATTGCCTCTCGAAGACCTAATGTGTTTTTTAACTGAAATCAATAATTAATATCTGTTAATATAAAAATAAGTTATTTTTTAATTTTTTTTTTAAATCAGAATATAACACGAGATTCAATGTAATATGTGTGATCGTAGACTAGACAAAGGATAGGATTATAAAAATACAGAAATAAAAATAACATTATAATAGATATACCAAAACTTGGACACCAAATTTTTTATATAATAATCAATATTGTGGAATTTGCGTCCGAACATACTATGAAAGAGGTAAAACTATGAATTACCCGGTATTTGGGTGTATAATATACAAAAATGGTATACATCTTGTAGTCGTATTTCAAAAAAACCTAAGTATTTCGTGGTTTGTCATGATTGCTTTGACATTTACCACAGATAGCCCTAAGGGCCCTTATTACAACGACTCAATATTTTTGAAACAACATCGATACCAATTTAATTTTTGATTACGAAAATATAATGATCTTATCAAAAAATACTATACTTCCTGTATTTAATATTGACCTAAGACTATCACCCGTGGGCACATGTCACAAAATCGGCAATGGGCGGCATGTGGGTGTCAATAGTTCTGGCAGGTATTTTGGAAAAAACCTCAGTTCATTACACCGTATTTTGAATAAAGCATCGGGACTAAAGGCTTATGCAGTTCCCACACCCGTAGTGATTGCTGATTATGTACTTGCACATTTCCATGGCTAAGTCTAAAGTAAAATTTCCGCAAATGGGTTTCGGAAAACTAAGAGTTATTGTTGACTTCCAGAACCAAATCCTGACTTTTTGTCCGATTTAAAGTTCGGCAGAGTCAAAGAATCTTCCTATTACGACAATGAGTTATGGTTAATCGATTGCGTTATCGAGACTATATTAAAGAATTTTTATGGTCGGAATAACGTTACCGTTCCATATAAAAACAGACGGACTATTGGTTCTTTACAGTTATCTCTTGAAGAGGAATCAATTGGGCACAACGATTTTGTGATTTAACACCTTTGGGTCATGTGAGTGTCAATTCAAGACCTCAAAAATAGAATATTTGAGGCTAAAGAGGACATTCCCTCATTTATTTTAAACAATTGCATTTTTCTTTAAATACCATTATGGCTGTTTAATATTTAATTTCAGTTCCTTGTAAAGAATAGATAATTTTATTATTTTTCTCTGGATATAGTATATAGAAGTATATACAATTTGAGTGTGGGTTACTGACATCATAATGCTCAAGTGCATACAATGTTTTATACATAAGAACTGCACACTTGACCTTTGCTTGCAATCAAGTTTTAGCCAGATTGATATCTGCTAGTTTGACCGATATATATTACATCAATAATGGTTAAGGGGATATTTGATTCCATTTTCCCTTTCTGCCACTTATTGAGGAACATTTTAGAACGATTCGGAATGAAATCTACAATTCTGGCAGTTACTAATTTTCCAGTTTGGTCAGCTTTTGCCTTTTAACGGCTCCTTATGATCTCTAGAATTGTCTGTTCCTTTTGCAGATTCGATATCCTCAACGAATCCAACAAGAACATAACAGTTTTACATTTACAATTTTCGATTAAAAACACCGGTACTTGTACGTGGTCCTTATAATACCGGTGTCAACACTATGGACGGACATTGGTGTAGAATACACACCTAATGATACTGGTGTCAATACTCTAAACATTAGTTGGGCATTTTCAATGAAGACAATATGGTTTTGTGGTTGTATTACCAAAACATGCTGATGGCTACTGATCTGATTTTCGTGTATCAGGAAGGAAAACACCTCGTAATTACATGCAAATAATTATTATAATACATTTTACAGAGAAAAATCAAATCACTTAAATCCGGCTGCCGACCTCTGAAATATAGTATATCCATTTCACCATTCACTTCGCTGACACCTTCTATTCACATCCAATATTTCCAGCAATATGAAAAACAGTATGCAAAAAATCAATTCTTGGGTTTTTGTAAAAAAAGGTGTATCTTACGAGTCATCATCAAATAAGGCTTTGATGATGTCACCAACCAATAGCTCTTTGTTACCAATTTCTAGTGGTATGAGGAAGTGGAATTAACTCTATTTACCACATCTGTAATAGAAAGATTTGAATATTTTCTTATTTTTTATAACACGACAATAAAAAATCAATATCTTTGACCAACACTTTGTCGTAATCATCTACAAAACCCACAATGCCTTTTGGCCTGCAACCAGAAAAAAAACTCTCCGAATTGTATAGGCCAGACAATCAGTCAACAAAGAGAGAGGGCGGGGGTAATAGGCAAATACATTTTTAATTTCATTTTCACACTGCAGCTTTTCATTTTGCCAAATTTTAACTTATAAATTTCAATTTCCTTCATAATATTCCAATTGGATTGCATTCACAATACCTATATCTTAGTATTTTATATGATTTTATTAACTTTTCACGCCTTGAATTAAGTACTTTTTCTAAAACAACATTATTTTTTCGACTCCGTACACACAGTATACAATTCAGACCTTTTTTGCGAAGTTTCTCTACAATTCTCTCTGTAAAAATTAATCATTCGGTGTTGTTGTCTCTGTTGTGTCGATGTTTCTGTTTCATTCTAGTCGGCAGTGTTGCCCAGTCATTGGGGATGAAATGAAAAACGTCAAACCAAATGACAAGTCGGATAGATTTATCGTACAACAGTGAGGTTGCATATGTTTTATTTGAATGGAACGTAAACGTGACGTTGTCGTAAGTGTTTAAATTAATGTTGATGAGAATTGTGGGTTTTTAAAAGGAAAATATTCGAATAAACCGAGAAAAAAAGGAAAATATTGATTGAATTATATGAATGAAATCTGCTGCTGTTTCGAATAAAAAAAAAATATTCAAATTTAGTTCAAAATAAAATTTAATATACAATATTTGTGTGCAAACATTTTCAGAATTATGAGTCGGTCTAGCTATTGTTCTGTTCAGTTGGTCTGTTTCCATATTGTAAGAATCTACTGGATTTTACTATTTAGTTTCTAGCAGTACGAAAACAGTACAGTTCTGGAACGAAAAACTAGTAAAAAAATTATATGACAATGCTTCAAAATCAACACAAAAGCCAATCGGCCAAATTTCTCGAGTAAACATTTTATAAAGAATACTCCATTTTTTCTTAGGGTCGTACCTAAATTATGGTGCTCTGTACAAAAATACTCAACTTCTCACCGTTATAGTGTTTCTTAGACGTCCGTATTACCCAAAGACTTTATTTGCAATTGAAAACGGCGAAAATAGATGAAAATATTTTTTTAATTGATCGAAAAATGTTTACATGTATAGAAAAACAAATTTTTGAATGATAGTTCGTTTACATTGTACTGGATTTCGTTAACTCAGTGGTTTTTAATTGTCAATTCCTTTGAATATATACCAAATAAATCCTCACAAAGCAGGTTAACCCGGTAATTCTATTTTCAAAGAATAAAAAATTCAAAATAACCATTGTCAATGTTGAAAATTTTCAACTTTATATTTTGATACGCAATGCGTATTTGGGTAACATTCATTGAAGTACATGTATTTAACTTTTGAGGTTAATAAAATCGTACGCATACGCATGAATTTAGGTACGACCCTTAAAGTCTGTTCAAAGTTTTACTAGAAAACTAACAATGGAGGCTTTTGTATTACTGAATAAATAAATAAAAGTAGTAAATTCTGCTGTTCTGAAACAGAACTTATGTTCTGAAACAGAACTTATAATTATAATGCAGGCCAATTGTCAAAAAATGTTAGCACCCATATAACGACACTCCTCAATACATACTCGGTATTTTGGACAGGTTTTTCAATTTCAAATTGTTTGAAAAATAAATTCAATAAAAGTTTATGCATGTCGAATGGCATATTAAAAAAAAATAATAAAAATATATACCTTATGTTAATAAATATTTCAATCTTTTATTAATATTGCTCTTAAGATATAACTATAGATGTTACATGTTATATTTGTAGATTATAGAGGCTGGAAACTTCAAGATAATAAACATTTTGTAATTTTTACCACTGAACACATGTTGTGCGTTTATTTCGAAAGAGTATATTTTTATTTCAATTTTGAAAGCTGAATGTTGTCAAAAGTAAAATGATGAAAAAATTGGAATCATATGTCTGCATGAGACTACCTTGTGTAATTATGCCATGAGCTGAGCATTGCTTTCAAGATTAACCCATGGTTTTTAAAGCTTATATTTTAAACGTTTTATAGGCACGGAACTTGAAAATATTTATAAATATAAATGATTTCGCAATTTTTGCCACTGAACTCATGAAAGAAGATATTTTCATTTAACACTAGATTGCCGAAGGCGGTCATTTTGACCGTTTTTCAATTTCAAATACAAAAACAATTGTGTATATTATGACAAAGCTTATTAAAATTTGGTGACTTTTTGTACCACATAGAACTACGTTTATTAATCATAGTAGCTGCTTCTCCCCCTCTGTCATTTCCCGTATTCACATGTGCTGTACCAATAGGTTCGTTCGTTTACTTTCCCAGTAATATTTACTCAGTAAGAATTTGCAGAGAGTAAATACGAATTTTTCCTTTTCAAGAGAGAAAACTGCAAAAAGTAAACGAACAACATCCAGTAAAAAGATTGTTTCGACACAGCTGATTAAAACAACAAACAAATTGGCGCAAACTATAAAACAGCATTTTTATTAGAAAAATGGATAACATGCGGAAAATTGATGTTGTTTGTTCCCCATAAACATTTAAAAGGGTTGTGACCTGTTATTCCTGTATCTGCAATTGATATGGGGGTGGACATAACCGATGGTGTTCCAGACATGTTAGGGATGCACACTTTTTTGTTTCGATTTGGAACCTAAAAAATCGTTCGCCAATTACTCTTATTACTCTTATTTTTAAATACTTGCGTTTTCGTCATCCATTTTGGTATTTAATGATACAAAATCAAAATAAAATTCACAAAACAATCAATTTTCTTGAGAACAATTTTTTGTTTGTTTACAAAACATAACAAAACAGCTGATTAAATATCAGCTGATGGTACAAGAAAATTCTTACTGAGTAAATTTTCCTTGTAAGAATTTGCAAATACTCAGTAACACAACTGTCAAATCTGCTCTCTCAATTCACTTTCTTTTACTGGACTTTTGGGTAAACGAACAACATTTTGTAATAATTTGTACAAATTCGTACAAATTATTGAGTAAACGAACGAACCTTATATTGACTAAAAGCGGTCGTTTTGACCTCTTGTGAAGTATTGAATAATCGAACTACTTTTATTATTAGGTGTGTCTGGTTACTTTTCCAGTAACATTTATTCAGTAAGTTCTAGTTCAGAGAGTAGGCCTTTTTTACTCTCTTTTGCGATAATACTGAAAACAGTAAACAGACAACATTTAGTAAGATTTAGCAAATAAACAGCTGGTTCAAGAAAATATTTGATTTGCGCCAAAATAAACAACAAACAAAGGACGAACACAATTATTTGTATTGCATTTAATATTAAAAATAAAATGAATAATAAAAGAAAAATTGATCTGGTATGTTCCCCGGGAACATTTAAGCCCCCTGCATCAATACATTGCCTTCTATCTGGAACTTGCCTAAAAATATATAAGGAATTAGTTTCTAATTTAATGAAACTTTGCATTACTTACAAATTTTCTCCAGCTAAACTCCAGCAACTTTGTTGTTGTTCAACTGTCAAACTTGCTCTCTCACTTGACTTTCTTTTACTGGATTTTTGTGTAAACAGACAACATTTAGTAACATTTGGTAACAATTGTTACCAAATATCGAGTTAACAGACAGAGCTATTGCTGCTTACGGAACTGAACAAATAGGACTACATAAGTCCCAATTTAGATTAGGCGAGTTTACTTGCGGCAAGTCTTTGTTTGTAGGAGAGAGGGGCAAGGGGTATAGAAATGAAAAAAAATTGCTCGTACCGACAATTTTCTGACAATTCGTTTTGTGTATTTCGTATTTGTTTACATTTTATATATATTAAAATGTAAAAAAACAACAAATAAAAAATATTTTGGAAACCGAATTGCCTTGTATTGACGCATGGAGCAAGTTCAAAAGAGAACGATAAAAATTGCCGCAAGTAAACTCGCCTAATATAAATCAGGACTAACTGTGAACTATTTTTATTAATTTAAAGTTGGCATCATTGCATATAAATGTAATAGAGTTGCCATTTTACATTTCCGTTACCAAGGTGACTTTTGAAATATAAACAAATAAAATCAAAAATAAGAGACGTCAATCACTTTACACAATTAATGTTTTTTTAAATTAAAAACATTACTAGAAAACAATGGCTGACGTAGCCACTGCTGTTGAAGAACCCAAAGAAGAAGTTGAAGATGAAAAGACAAAGTAAAATTAGTCATTTGCAATTAAATAATATTTGTTATAAACTTTTAAACTTATCTTACAGATTTCTACGAATCAATAAAAATATTTTGAAATGGAAGCCACCAACAAATGAATTTGAACCTGTGGAATATTTCGATACAGCCAAGGCATGGGATGCTTTGCTCTCACTGCCCAGTTGTCAGGAAATAATGATACAGTAAGTGTTGCAAAAGACAAAATCAATTTGTTAAAATAAAACTCGGATTTTACTTGCAGGGAATCGAATCAACGCCGCCTACACATGGTTGTAGGTGAAAATGTTACCCAGGAATTCCCTTGGAAACAAATACCATTCAAAAATTTACGTGACAACCTTTTCGATGATTTACCAAATGGTCAAATGTATTACAATGCCTTTCAGGGTTATGATGTTGATAGCCATGTGCTGTTGGGTTATGTACCGCTGTTGACACAGGACTTGGATGATCCACCACCTGGTGATCCCTTTGTCATGTACATTGATCCGGCAGATGCAAAATTAGCTTTAACCATAATACATAATTTGGAGACGTATGAACGTTTGATGATCAGTAAACGTTTACAGAAAATGCCCCGAGCTTGGGTGTCACTGGGTAGTGAGGATGAAGTTAATTTAACCATATCACAACGTTATCATGAAGCTGTCGACGTTGAAATACAAAGTGTCTATCCGTTAAATATTCCAGCGGAAAAGAAATTCTCATTTCGTTTCAGTCGCGATGTTCGAGATGGTTATGTGGAGCTAGTGCCATCGGATAGTGCACGTTTCGATAATGTAGCTCGTCGTCGAATTACCGTGGGTATACAATCGGCAATGCCACGCATAGATATAGAGCAACAAACCGATCCAACGTTTCCCACAAATGCATGGGCCCAATATTTTTATGAAATTAATGAGGATGGTAAAATTAGTTTTGAAAATTTTTCGGTATTTGAAACTGAATATATTTCTTTGGTTTTTGCTTTAGAGGATTGTCTTGACCCCTTAACCGAGGATGAGGATGACAAAAGTAAACCCCCCAGCAGAGCTGTAACACCGGAACCTCCCAAACCACCTAAACCGCCACCAGAAGTATCGGACAGAATTCATTTTCTTTTGAAAACTTTGGAGTTCAATCAAATTGATATATATAGGTAAATCATGGAGACAAGATTTTTGTTCAGATTGTCTTCGCGTTTGTCGTATGGGCCTATTGGACTTTATAGAGAGCGATGGTCTCTGTATGGACCAATTAGTCCTGATAGAGACCGGTGGTCTTTGTACGAACTACTACATGGTCTTTTTAGAGCTCCAGTCTTTGTATAGACCAATTGGTCTGTATAGAGGTTTCTGTGGTCTTTGTATAGACCTGTGGTCTGAGTATAGTCCAATTGGTCTTTATAGAGACTTGCTGTCTCTGTATGGACCAGTTTGTCTTTATCGAGTCCTATGGTTTTTTATAGACCAACTGGTCATTATAGAGACCTGTGGTCTTTGTGTAGATCAATTGGTCATTATAGAGACCCGTGGTCTCTGTATAGAGGTCTCTGTATAAACCAATTGGTCTTTATAGAGACCGGAGGTCTCTGTATAGACCAATTGGTCTTTATAGAGACCGCAAGTCTCTGTATAGACCAATTGGTCTTTATAGAGACCGCAGGTCTCTGTATAGACTAATTGGTCATTATAGAGACCTGTGGTCTTTGTATAGACCAATTGGTCATTATAGAGACCTTTGGTCTCTGTGTAGACCAATTGGTCTTTATAGAAGCCAACGGTCTCTACAGTGGCTGGTGATCTCCGAAAGTCTTATTGATGCTTATGTTTTAAGAAGTTCTACTTGCGTAGAATTTTGAACACGTTTTACAGTCATGGGGTTTAAAAACTTCCAATCTCTTGGCAAATTATAGCTAACCCTTTTTATGTTTCTCCAATTTCAGAAACGATTATCCTCTGATTTCCAACGCCTCTATTATGCACCATTCCACACCGAGTCTGGAAGAAACTCTATGCTTTGCCAATATATCAAAAAGTCAACAAAGATTTGTATGTGGTTATGATTGGTATCCGACAATAGCTGGTCTGATAGTGACCTCATACACTTTTAGTACAGCGGCTACAGTGGAATCAAGTACGCTTAAATCTTTTTTTTAGAAAACCGTAATGAATACCAAATACCTCTCTTTCAGTTAATACAAAAACGGATACAATACAGCGATCGGTACTGCAACCGAATCCCATACTTATGTGGAGTTTTGATGATAATCTAAATTATAAATTAGAATTCGAATCGCCGTTGGAAATAACCTCGCTTTCCTTTTGTCCCTATGATGCGAATATTTTAATTGGTGGTGCTAGTAATGGTCAGGTTATTTTATGGGATTTACAAAATCGTGCCGAACGTTTAGATTATACCGAAATGTTATCCTCTTCGCAAGTTCGGTATCGTGTCCTAATGAATGAATTTCTCAAATGGACTATTCAGATCAATGAGGATATGATAATATTTCCTGCTACCATATCACAGTTGGATAAATCACAAAAAGGACCCATAACTGTTATACAATGGTTGGGAAAACGTTGTTCGGTTAATACGTTTGGAAAATTAAGTTGTGAAGAAAATTCGAAGGCAAATCATCGTTATTTCTTGACATGTTCACTGGATGGAACGGTGGCCTTTTGGAATTTAGATTCACAAATGGGTAAACGAGTTGCATCCTCTCAGCGTAGAGATTTGCCCAAGGCATTGGCGCAAAGTGAATCCAGCTACAAGGGCAAGGTATTGGTGCCGATATTTTCAGTGGTTTTTAACGAACCATTGACGGCATTTGTGGCCGATACACCAAGTTTTAAATGTTCGCGGAAGGACGTCTCTAAAGGAGGGGATACTACTCTTTACAATTATCAAGTGCAATTAATATCAAAGGACCCTTCGGAAGTTCGGCAAACATTTATAGTTTCATCATTTTATGGGCGGATTGAACGAATTTCTTGGTTGGGTATGTATGCCGACACCGAGGGCAAAGAAGTCGTCAATACATCGGAACATTTTGCCCGTGTGCATGATGGACCAATTATTTCAATGAAGCGGAATCCATTCTTTCCCTGGCTTTTTGTTTCCATTGGCCGTAACGTGTTTGCTGTATGGAAGGAAGATTATAATTATTCACCAATATTTTGGAGAAGATGTCAAAATGATTTAACGGCCGTTACATGGAGTGAATCGCGACCCTCAGTATTATTTTTGACCAGAATCGATGGTAGTTTGGAAGCGTGGGATATTTTGGGTAAGATCTTTTCAGTATTTCTAAAACTACGTTTTTCAAATATATCTCAACTCTCCAAACAGCCCGTGATGATGATGCCTGTTTAAATGATGTCATCGGTGGTGGTATTGTTACCCAAATCTGTGAGCATAAACCTGTGGAGCCTAATAAACTCTTGGGTATTGGCGATTACAATAGTAGCCTGCGCATGGTGAAATTGCCACGAAGTTTTTATCGTTACACTGCCCAGGAATTGGAGGTTGGTGGTATTGATACCGCAGTTCAAATAAATTTAAGTGTTATATTTTCAGGATATGAAATCATATATTCTCAATGAAGAATCCCGAAAGAAGTCCATACAATTGTGGGAGCAACAATACTATGAACGTAATAAAGAAGTCATTGAGGCGAAACGTCAAGCTGAACGTGATGCTCACAAGGAAATGGAACGTCAGGAGAAGGAAAGAGTTTTACAGGCGGTGAGAAAAGCCAAGGAGGAGGAAGAGGCAAAACGGTAAGTGACAGAAAAGGATATATTTCGAGGTTGTTAAATAAAGGTTATGTTAAACAATGAACGACATTCACTCCATTGTTTTCACCTTGAATAAGAATTCTATTCCTCATGTGAGGTTTTCGGAAAACTATTGTGTTATGGTCAATATTCGATTATTTATTTCATAAACCCCTGAAAACTAAATGATTGATCGCATATATTTCCCCTTATGATTCCAAAAATTATAAAAATCACACCAGCAGCCAGGTACCTCTGAATAACTTGCATCCTGAGCACCGAATATCTTGCATCCGTCTCGTTATTTCTTGCATGGATATAAATTCAAAAAGTAATGAAATGGAAATATTTTCCATCAAAAATGGACTTGAGAAGTTCCAATGTACTCTCCAGCATGATTTGTGAACTTTTTCATGCCCTCAAGCTAGTTTCCAAAATATTTCTTTCACTCCGTTTAAGGATCCTGCAAAACAAGATTTTTGAACGGTTCACCAACAACTTCGATGACGACATATCGTTTTCTTGACATGCGGTAATAAAAAATACATTGGGCGCCAATTCAGAACTGTTTTGTGTCTGATCCATCGATTCGAAACAGAATTGGTTTTGTGTGTCTATTCATTCCACGATCAACTTTGGGTTTGATTTAGCTGCCATGGAATCTGCGCGGACTCATAGATCCTTGATTCAGAATTCATCGCTTGTGACCATAAATAGCACTTTAGTAGTGCGGTAGTAATGGGAGCGCTTGACCTAACAAAGGCTTTTTGAGACTGTGAGTGTTGTCACATTAATCGGGGATGTTCTATAAACTAATCTCAGTCCACGATTGATATATTAATCTTTATCATGTCGAGAATTTCAAGTAGCAAAGCTTTTGACTTAGCAATAAACTAATCTCAGAATGAATAATTTCCCGCTAAGTTTGATGTGTTTGGGCGCCATCCTTACCTATAATTGGGAAATTCCGAAATAAGGAGATGGCTCAATATAGGATGTCTGCGCGGACATCTAATTGTAACCCAAAATTTATGACTTTTGTGATTGTTGATGTCACGGCATATAGACGATTCAGGAGTGATACCAGAGAGTCAGGCGATCCAATACCGAAGATTTAACTTAGCGTAAATCCGAATAGATGTAGGGGTAGTATCTGTCCCATTAGAAATTGAAATCGCCAGATATGGATGATAGGACTGGATGGATGTTTATAGCCATCTGGAAAGTCATGAGGGAATATATCGAGTCCGTTTTCACCAGTTGCATTAGTCAGGGATACTTCCTGTGTGTATTGATGTTGGCCTGAATTGTTTTGCTTAAGGTGCCCGATTAAGAAGTGCCTTCGTATCGGGGCATTAGTCTTCCTCCATTATATTGTTGAAAAAGTGTGGAGAGGATTATGGTAGCACAGTTAAGTGATGATCCGTGGGGTATTGTCGGTATGGTATGTCTAACCGTCAGGTTGACCTACGGGGTTGCTTGCCTGGTCTACAATGTCCTTGTGGTGGGGGAGTGCGAAATAATATTTCTGAGAACGCTCTTTCCCGTTTCGGAGACTAATTAATTTCCTCCACTTCTTAATGAATTGCTGAAGCCACTGGGTTTGGATCGTATACATGTTGCGAACAGTATCAGCCGGGATCGAATTAGAAAATCTAAAAGGCTGGTTAAAGTCATCTGGTCTTACCGGAATATATCGAGTATTTCCACCACCAGTTCCATTAGTCAGGATTATTTTCCGCGTGGATTGAAGTGTGCCCGAGTTGATGTGTTGCGTAAGTTGCATGATCGAGTAAGGAACAGTTCTCGTTCGATCGGGCTGTAAGTCTTTTTCCAGTTCTTGAGAGGATTATGGTGGTACGGCTTAGGAAATTCTACAGTGCAGTTACCTGAGTGGGTTAAATGCCAAATGTTTCCTTGGAAACAAAGGGCATATAACTTCCTTCAATAGGATTTGATGCAACAAGGTTGTCAGTTCAGTTGCAGGGAAATTACTCCTCGGACTAGTTATTTCCAAGATAGGAAGGCATGTGTCCGAAACCTATTGAAATTGGGAAAAATAGCTTCAAAGCCCCAAAATATGACCGATTGACGGTAAATTTTGAACAAAGTACTGAAATTACTATAAAATAACGTGTGTTAAGTTTTGTTGAAATCGGTTCAGATTTATATATAGCTCCCATATATAGATTTGTCCGATTTTCAATAAACGGTGCACCAGAGCTCCAAAATATGGCAGTAATATAAATGTTGCGAGAATATGTCCAATCCAAAAATAACTGAAGAAATGCGTATAGGAAAAACAAAAACAGGAGAGAGAAAAATCACACAAAGCTTAAAAAGTTGCACATAGAGTTACAGGACATCAAAAAGATCGCAAACTGCGATTTTATTCCCACAACGATAACCATGGTGTGAGCCAGTGCATCGATCTGACCGATGTGTAGCGTGATTTTCCACAACTAGCTCTAGAAGTAAAATATACTATTGAAGTGGCTCTATGGCAAGGAGGTAGGAGAACGAAGGACTTTTGCTGAGAACGTTCTTTCCATCGATCTTCGGAGACTCTATCATTTCCTCTGCTTGTTGATAAATTGGAGAAACCTCAGGATTTGGATCGTATATATGTTGGGGAGAGTATTAAAAATCGCCAGGTATGGATGGTAGGACTGGAAGGATGTTTATAGCCATCTGGAAGGTTATACAGGATTGAAAAGTCGCACAAAGCTTAAAAAGTTGCACATAGAGTTACAGGGCATCAAAAAGGTTGCAAGCTGCGACTTTAGTCGCACAATAGTAGCCCTGGAGTGAGCCAGTACATCGGTCTGCACCATACGGTTTTTACAGCGTTCTATTTATGGTCCATATATATTTGGAAACTAATAATTGATCATCTGCTTCCTTCAAGTTTTGTGCGTATGCGGATGAGGAGCATGTCATGATTAAAGTTGATATCCGACTTTAATGGGATATGCTAGAATCGCAGGCCTACAGTGGAGGTTATAACAGAAAAACAGTGATGATGCTGCTGCAGAAAGGTAGGTTGTGCACACGCGGCATTAGGTATGTGACTACCGTATTCCGTATCTTGGAATAACTATGTCAAAGAGAATGTATTTTGATCGGATTGAAGAGAAGCTGACAACCGTTGTTAGTATTGTCAAGTGTTTTTTAGGGCTGAAGCAGACGTTTGGTGTGTATCATATTTGGGGTTTTTTTGTTGCCTTCGCACCTTATGGTTCACCTATATGGTACAAAGCCAGTTCTACTGTCCTTAACCAGAAAAAGCTCCATTCGAGTCAGCGGGTCGTCTTACTTACTTAGCTGGCTTGTGACAGAACTTTCGTTCCATAAGCCGAGCTTAGAAAAGACTTCCAGGCGCGTCGGTCTTTTGCGTAGTTTTTTTCCAATTTCAAAGACCATTTTCGGCAATGTTGTCTTCGATTTGATCTTTCCAACGTATTCTTGGCCTTCCCCTTTTGCGTGAACCATTATCTGGTTTGCTTTTATATGCCTTCTGGGCTGGGGCATCTTCATCCATTCTCGTCATGATAGCATATTTTCCAGTGTGTCGCACCTTTTCCGCGGATGAGAAGATGGTTATGCTTGCGCCGAGCCACTTGATCTTGAGATGTAGGGCTATTAATTGGAGGCTTAAGCGCGGTTTGCAGTTAGATAAAGATAATTTTTATACCAGACTAAGATACAGTATAGTTGGTAATTGTGGATATGACCTAATTTAAACATGTATTATAAATTTTCTTCAGATATGTTTTGATATTGATTCCAAATATACTAGAACTTACTATGCCATATTAAGATATATATCTCGAACAATATTGATATGTTCCATTAAGTTTTTTATTAAAAATTATTGCAATACAAAATTTTTCTATTTTTTTCTCAGGAATGCTGCCCCGCCAATCCATTTAACATATACCGAACGAATGCGACGACAATGGTATGAATTGAATCTTAATCGGCTACTAAATATTCTCATGACCCGCAAGCGAGTCAATGAAAAACAACTTCGGCAGGATACAATTTTGGAAAAAGAACGGCTGGCGTACGAGGCAGCTAAAAAGGAATCATTAACCGAAGTTTTGTCACGCATCGGCGATGAAATTGCTGCTGTTCGTCAGCGTATCTTCCCTCAAGAGATACCCGATTTACAACGTAGTGATATGATAAAAACCTCGGTGGATACCATATTGCAACAAGTCGAGACGTATGAAGAAATTGAAGAAGAAATCAATCGTATCATGGAAGAAGTTGATGATTTTCAACAAATGGATTATGCTGAATTTTTGCATCGTGGCAATGAACGTCGTAAAAATATTAGTAAATCTCTGGGTGGTAATACACAACGTTTCTATTGGTATGATACGATGCGGGAAGAAGCTCAGCTGACAGAATGTAATTGGGGTTTTGAAATGTATGCCGATCTGTTGCAAACTATGGATATTGGTTCCCGGCCGCCGTCGGATATTAATTTAATGATGAGTAAAGCGGTGTCGTCAGCTGAGGAGCTGGAGGCGGAGGCTGACGTTGAGGAGGAGGATTAAAAGTAGTTATTATTTGGTTATTAGACAGACAGGTTGTATTCTTTTGCAATAAAAAATCATAAATGATTACATTTTTATAGGAAACCCATTAGTGTTTTTTTAATTACACGGTGTTTACACATGCAACTTTTGAAAACAACTCTGACGAGTTCTTAGCTGCAGAATTGTCTAAAAAAGTTGCCTGTGTAAACCCAGAGTTACTTCAGTAATATTTATAGAAATTTTCAAATGGTCTGTCTCTCGTACGTATGATATCGAAAAAATAGTAAAATCGAGTAGATTCTTGCAGTACGGGAACAGACCAAAAATTTCTTTATGTGCACTATAAAAAATATATTTCCAGAACTTGTCACATTTTTTTTTATAAAACATTATTCCATCTTCGTAAAATGACTCCTTGTAAATTTTCCACAATTTCCAAGAATTTCTTTAAAATTGGAATTCCATGGCAAACGCGTTTTATGAGTGCTGCCAGCAATAAACAATGTCCTGGAAATTCGTCCCAAAAACCACCACCAACTCCTAAGGCGTCAATGAAACCCAATAAAGAAGAAACCAAAGCACTAACCGTCCCAACACCGGTAGCGCCACCACCAAAAAAGCCACAAATAAAAACCGTTCAAATATATCGCTGGAAACCGGGTGAGAAGGCTCACCTGCAAACCTATAAAATTGATTTGACCCAATGTGGTCCAATGGTTTTGGATATTTTGATTAAAATTAAAAATGAAATTGATCAAACATTGACATTTCGCCGGTCTTGTCGTGAAGGTATCTGCGGTTCATGTGCCATGAATATAGATGGTCTCAATACCCTGGCATGTACATGTAAAACTGATAAAAATCTATCGAAGCCCTTGCGCATTTACCCACTGCCGCATATGTATGTGGTACGTGACTTGGTACCCGATCTTTCACAATTCTATGAACAATATCGTTCGATACAGCCATGGTTGCAACGTTGCTGCAAGGGGATTAAGGAGGTAACTGGAGCAGCACAATATTTACAACATCCCGCAGATCGTGATGTATTGGATGGGCTGTATGAATGTATATTGTGTTGTTGTTGCCAATCATCGTGCCCCTCATATTGGTGGAATAGTGATCGTTATTTGGGTCCAGCTGTTCTAATGCAAGCATATCGTTGGATTATCGATTCCCGTGATGAAGCAACCGAAGAACGTTTGAATTATCTCAGGGATCCATATAAAATATATCGTTGCCACACCATTATGAATTGTACAAACACCTGTCCCAAGGGTTTGAATCCAGCTAAGGCGATTGCTAAATTGAAGCAACTATTGGCTGGTTATAGTAAGAAGGCAAATCCGAAATTGGATACTGGAAAGATTTTTAAAAGCTTGAAATGATTTGATTTTTTTTAATAATCTTCTTATTAACAAAGAACCATCTGATCGTTTGGAAAATAAACCGAAAATCTATCTTCTGAGAAACCGAAATCACAACTTATAGAAATTTTCGAAACCCCAATTTGCTGGTTGATTATTTGAATAATTATACTTATACCAATTTTTGGAGATCTTTGGCACATGTTTCAACCATATTGACTGTAATTATACCCTTCACCACACTGTGGTACAGGGTATTATGTCTTTGTGCATATGTTTGTAACAGGCAAAAGGAATCGAGATAGACCCATGGTTCCTTTTGAGAATATGCATAGAATCACTTTCTGAGTCGATTTATGCATGTCCGTCCGTCCGTCCATCTGTCTGTCCGTCCGTCCGTCTGTTGATGTTATGATTTGGCTGAAATTTGGCACAGCTCATTTATTTGGCCCAAGGACGAACCCTATTGAAATTGGGAAAAATCGGTTCAGATTTAGATATAGCTCCCATATATATTTTTGTCCGATTTGAGGACTTTAGTCCCTGAAAATCATCCGATTTGCACGAATTTCGGTACAGCGTACTGAATTAAGTCTAAAATGATGTGTGCCAAATTTCGAGAAAATCGGATCAGATTTAGATATAGCTCCCATATATAGTTTCGTCCGATTTAAGGTAAATGTGGCACCAAAGTCCCTCTGTATCTTTCGATTTGCATGAAATTTGGCACAGAGTACTGAATTAGGTCCAGAATGTTGTGTGCCAAGTTTCGAGAAAATCGGTTCAGATTTAGATATAGCTCCCATATATAGTTTCGGCCGATTTAAGGTAAATGTGGCACCAAAGTCCCTCTATATCTTTCGATTTGCATGAAATTTGGCACAGAGTACTGACTGAGGTCCAGAATGATGTGTGTCAAGTTTCGAGAAAATCGGTTCAGATTTAGATATAGCTCCCATATATAGTTTCCTCCGATTTAAGGTAAATGGGGCACCAAAGTCCCTGTATATCTTTCGATTTGCATGAAATGTGGCACAGAGTACTGAATTAGGTCCAGAATGATGTGTGCCAAGTTTCGAGAAAATCGGTTCAGATTTAGGTATAGCTCCCATATATAGTTTCGTCCGATTTAAGGTAAATGGGGCACCAAAGTCCCTCTATATCTTTCGATTTGCATGAAATTTGGCAGAGAGTACTGAATTAGGTTCAGAATGATGTGTGCCAAACTTCGAGAAAATCGGTTCAGATTTAGATATAGCTCCCATATATAGTTTCCTCCGATTTAGGGTAAATGGTGCACCAAAGTCCCTGTATATCTTTCGATTTGCATGAAATGTGGCACAGAGTACTGACTGAGGTCCAGAATGATGTGTGTCAAGTTTCGAGAAAATCGGTTCAGATTTAGATATAGCTCCCATATATAGTTTCGTCCGATTTAAGGTAAATGGGGCACCAAAGTCCCTGTATATCTTTCGATTTGCATGAAATTTGGCACAGAGTACTGACTGAGGTCCAGAATGATGTGTGTCAAGTTTCGAGAAAATCGGTTCAGATTTAGATATAGCTCCCATATACAGTTTCGTCCGATTTAAGGTAAATGGGGCACCAAAGTCCCTCTATATATCTTTCGATTTGCACGAAATTTGGCATTGCGTAATGAATTAATGAATGTGTGTTTAGTTTCGTGAAAATCGGTCCAGATTTAGATATAGCTCCATATATATCGTCCGATATATATATATATATATACGCTTATAATAGATTTTCATAATTTTGTCCCTGGTCCTTTAAAAATTCGACGTCTTTTAGGTTTCATCTGTTGGATATACCGAAAGTGGTGAAGGGTATCATATAGTCGGCCCCGTCCGACTTTACTGCTTTCCTTACTGGTTTTTTATATTGGATTATAATTGGTTAGAAAATCCCCCTACCAAATATTATCAATATAGTACCATGATTCAGGTTAAACTTCAAATATCGACAACTCCATTATTGGGTATTTTGAGGATTTTTGGTATGTTTTATTACCAACATTTCATATTTTGGATTCTCATTGGGTAAAAAATCTGCCTACCAACTTTTATGAATATTGGTCCATGTTTCGAGGTAACCCTTCATAGAGCGATACTAATTTGATATTTTGGCATCTCATTGGGTACCAAATCTTCCTTCTAAGAATTATCAATATTCGAAATTTTAGAATTGATTCCAATTTAATATTTGGAATTGTTATTTGGTAGAAAATCTCTCTGCCAAAAACTATTAATATTCGTCCTTGTCTCAGGGTAGCCCCCATATAACGGTATCGCAATTTTTCGGTATTTTGGGGACTTTGGACACATTTTTCAACCGAATTGATTTTGATATTTTGGGTTCCCATGGTGTGTTAAATCTTCCTACCAACAATTTTCTATATCGATTTATGTTTTGGTATAGCTTCCATATAAGGGATTCGGCTCATCTTAGGTATTTTGATGTATAACAACATTATGGCCGTAATTTGGTAATGAGTTCTTAAAGGCTGACATACATAGAGAAAATTATCAATATACGAGGGCGGTTCGGAATCTTCTAGCATATCAATGAAAGAGAATTGTTAGTTTTTCAAAAATATTTTTGTTTTTCAATAAATATACTGAAGCTTCAATACACTTAGTCCAACGCTTTTCTAGCAATTCTATCCCTTGATTAAAATAGTTTTCTTCAAAGTCTTCAAAATAGTGGTTTACAACTGTAATTACATCTTTATTTGAGGTAAAACGATTGCCAGCAAGGAATTTTTTTAGATGTGGAAACAAGTAAAAGTCACCAAGAGCTAAATCGGGAGAATAAGGTGGCTGGTCAAGCAACCATGTTTTGACATAGCCGACCGAATTGAAGAGCAAATACATGTTAGGAATTTGTTAGTTCCATATAAAGATACCAAAATTTTTACGATTTTAGCCGAATTTTCCACTTTTAGACAATTTTCGATATCAGTCGAGATATTGACATAACCATCTTAGAAAGGGCCCGCCCCATTTTTTTTACATTTTAAGGGTTTTTAAAAAAAATTGTCATCGTAGCGTTTATATTTTTAAATGTTTTAAATTAGCCTCCATACAAATTTCCCGTTTCATTTTCGGTATGCGGAAGTTCCAAACCAGTTTTCCAACCTTAATGTCTATACTATGGAAACTCTTTTTTTCACAGCATGAACAACCGAATATCATATAATGCAATAAAATAGTCCCCATATAAAGGTCCCGTCCGATCTAAGGAATTTTGAATGAACATATTTTGGGGGATGGTATAAAAAGTTACTTACTTAGCTCGCTTGTGACGGAACATTGGTTCCTAAACCGAGCTTAAAAAAGATTTCCAAACAGACTTGTGCACAGCTCTTCCATTTTAAAAGACCACGTTCCGAAATGTTGTATTCCAATTGATGGGAAGTGGGGCATTCTCATCCATTCACACAACATAACCTAGCCAACGTAGTCGCTGCAGCTCGATACGTCAGACTATGTCGATGTCCGAGAATATATGATACAACTCATGGTTCATTCGACGGCGATATTCACTGTCGACGCAGATCGGCCCATAGATCTTCCGCATAATTTTTCTCTCAAACATTCCATGAGCTGCCTAATCTGCTTGTGCAAGTACCCATGCTGCAGATCCATACAACAGCACGGATAGCATCAGCGTCTTGTAAAGTGTAAATTTGGTCTGGCGGGAGGTGGCCTTGTTTCTAAACTGCTTACTCAGACCATAGTAACATCTGTTGGCCAACACTATTCTTCTACGGATTTTAAAGATGATGTTATTAGTTTGGTTTATGCTGGACCGAGGTATGAAAAAAAGTCCACTACCTCGAAGCTGTAATTTTCAAGTTCCACAGTTGGTCCGAGAATACTTGACGTCTTGCGCGTTGATACCGTCATCTTGGTCTTCTAACCATTTATTGCCAGTTCCACTTTAATAGACACCCTCTCTATTCGTTCAAAGGTGACTGTTACCGCTCGCAGTGTTCGACTCATTACATCGATGTCGTCGGCGTAGGCGATGCTGTTTGATGTAAAGAGTGCCATTTTTGGTCACATTTGCATCTCGTATGACCTTTCCCAGAAGGATGTTAAAAATTCCACACGACAAACGGCCACCCTGTCTGTATCCTCGTTCGGTATTGAAAGGGTTCGAAAGGTTTATTCCCACTTTAATTTCTGACCTTGTGCCAGTAAAAGTTATCCTGCATAGCCGTAGTAATTTTGCAGGAATGCCGAACGTAGACATGGCCTTAAATCCCTCTGAGCGGATTGGGCTGTCGAATGCGATTTGTAGTCACGAATGGGTGGAATGTGGCGCAGAGTGAAAATCTGGTCAATGGTGGATTTGCCAGATCTGAAGGCACATTGGTATGGTCCAATAATGTCATTGACCATTGGCTTCAGTCGTACACACAGTACGCTGGATAGCACTTTATATGCGATGGGAAGGAGACATATTCCTCTATAGTTGGCACATTTCGTCTTGTCTTCTTTTTTGTGCACGGGACACAGGATGCTGAGGTTCCAATCATTCCGCATGCATTCTTCTAGACAAATTGTACTAATCAGCTGGTACATGCTCCTTACCAGCACCTGACCACCAGTCTTGAATAGTTCGGCTTGTAACCCATCGGCAACTGCTGCTTTATTATTCTTCAGCCGATTGATTGCTATTCTGACTTCATCTTGGCTAGGTGCTATACACTCTATACCGTCATCTATTATTGGTTCTGGGTATCCACTTCACTGCTACTATTTAATACCAGAAGTTTTTCAAAATGCTCCTTCCAGATCCTCAGCACGCTGCCTGTATCTGTCACCAGGTTTCCTTCTTTATATATACAGGAGGATGTGCCAGCACCGAAGCCTTCGGTTTGGTGTTTTACCCGTTGGTAGAATTTTCGGACTTCATTCTGACTCCTGTACATCTCGATTTGCTCACGCTCACATTTTTCTTGCTCTTTCTTCTTTTTCCTGAAAATACGTTTCTCC